GGATGATCTCCTTGTTGTCATCCAGGTAGTGCAAGAGAGGAGTGAAGATCCTCCAGCTGGCATCCAGCTCATCGTCACGGACGAAGTTGGAATGGTCGCCCTTCAGAGCATCCAGGATCAGAGACTCGTAGGCCTCGGGGATCTTGAGGTCGGAGAAGCGGCGGCGGTAGGTGAGGTCGAGCTCAGTCACAACCGTCTGCATGGACAGGCCAGGCAGCTTGGAGTTCATCTTGATGTAAACGGACTCGTTGGGCTGGACGCGGATAACGAGCTCGTTACGGGGGATGTCCTTGAAGATTCCGGAGGTAACGTCACGGAACTGGATGCGGATCTCGGTCTTCTGCTCGTTCAAGGCTGCGAATAGTTAGTATACCCGCCATTGCTAAGATCGCTCGGAAAGAGGCACATACCCTTGCCAGCCTTCATGATGAAGGGAACACCGTCCCACCTCTCGTTTTTGATGTAGGCGACCAGAGCGCAGAAAGTGGGGCAGCGGGAATCCTGGGGAACGGTCTCATCCTCCTTGTAGGCGGGCTTGCTGCCATCAAGAGACTTTCCGTACTGGCCAATGATGACGTTCTTGGGCTCAATGGCGTCCATCGCACGCAGGACACGAACCTGGTAAAGTATTAGTAACCTCGCTCGACCGATAGCCAATCGCACACTTTACCTTCTCGTCACGGATGTCCTCAGCGGAGAAGGAGATGGGGCGCTCCATAGCGAGCAGCGTCAACACCTGGAGAAGGTCTGAGGAAGATTTTGATTAGTATTGTGTCGATAATGCCGAGCAAGGATCCGAACGTACGGTTCTGCATGACATCACGGATGATTCCGAACTCATCGAAGTAACCACCACGTCCCTCAGTACCGAAGGGCTCCTTGAATGTGATCTAATCAAGAGGCGACAATTTAGCCATTATTCAGAAAGTCAACTGGATAGCGCAAGGTCGTACCTGAACGTTATCGATGTGGTGGCGGTTCCAGGTGGCATTGAAGAATTCGTTTCCGAAGCGCATGATAAGGATGTTCTTGACCATCTCCTTACCCAGGTAGTGGTCGATACGGAAGATCTCCTCTTCCTTCCAGTTAGGCTCCAGTGCCTTTTGGAGATCGCGCGAGCTCTGAAGGTCCTTGCCGAAAGGCTTCTCTACCTGTGGAATAGGAAAACAAGCGAGTAAGAACAATGGCCAATTGCAGAGTGATATCAGCCCAGGATTGACTCACGATGATACGAGCAACGCCGTTCTTGGGGTAGCAGTTGCGCTTGAGTTGGTCGGAAACGGTGGTGAAAACGCTAGGGGGGAGGGCCATGTAGTAGATTCTGTTCTGCTCCTTCTGGCCCTTCTCAATCTCCTCGAGGTGCTTGTTGAGGTTGATGAACGAGTCATCCTTGTCGTATTGACCGGAAATGTAGGTGCAGAGCTGGCAGAAGCTGTCCAGCTGCTCTTCGATTTCCTTGGTGGGGGTCTTGATGTATGAGCGCACACGCCTCAGGTACTCCTCATGGTCCATGTTTGTCCGGGCATATCCGACGATCTTGATACCCTTGGGGAGGAACTTGTTGCGATACTGGAAGCGCAATCAGTAACCATACTGGGGTGAGTCAAACTGCAATTGGATCTGTAAGTGAACATACAAGGCCGAAAAGTGCCGGGAACTGTAAGAAGTTAGCTTCCTCTGCGGTCGACATGAATCAGGGGGTCATCACTGACAGTCTTCTTCTTTGCAAGATCTCCGGAGGCACCCAGTACTATGATGACAGTGTCATCTTTGAGCTCCATGGTGCTACGTAAAACATCCATGTTAGCTAGGCTATAGATTGACGATTATAGTGTCACAGGGATCGTGTGTAGATCGATGATGCAGGTCGGTGCCCGCAGTCCGCTACAGCCGGGAGGGGCAGTGAGGTTGGTGGTGAGTCAGAAGGATAGTCCTTTCGTCAAGACCAAAGGAGTAATCCTGGTGACGAATTGAAGAACAATGGAAAGCGGGAAGCCTGCCAGTGAATGTTGGGCGACCGGCTTGTTATGGAGAGGAGTAGGTGGTGAATCCTCTCACGTCTGGGCGGCGGGCAGGAGGGACGGGAGTGGGAGGGAGGAGGGGTGTGATGTCAGAGAGGGAGACCGCAAAACTCACCCAGCATTCTGGCGTTCCTCAGTACGTGCTATTGTGCTGGCCATATTTTATTGATGTGTGAACAACCACGAGATGGGGAGGGAATGTGAGAGATCGGTGGAAAAAGGAGGAGAGGGAATAAAGAGGATACAGGGAGACAGCAAGGACAGAGAGGTTTGTTGGAAAAATCCCAACAGTTCCGGCGGAGCAAGTACTTTTTAAGACCGGAGGAGGGCCTCTCGTCGAGGAGAGAGGAGCTGCTCTGCTGCAGGGTGGGCAAAAGTGAGTGAGCCCGGGTGGGGCAGCTTTGTTACTACTTTGTTACTGGGAAGCCCGGCTTGGGTTCTTCCACTACGTCGATTACTGCCGCGGGACCCCGTGAGTTAGTGGTGAGTAGGTAAATTGTTATCCAATTCTATTATTCGGGGTTATTTTACATCACTCAGACACTACTTACTCGCCTGCCACGGAGTAGTAGATAATTAACTCCTTCAGTATTTCCTTGGTATGATTACACCGGGAAATGCTTCCTTTTTTATCCCTAGCATCCATTCCTCCCCTAATTGTCAGGTTCTCCGTTCCCACTCATACTGCACTCTCTCTTTCTCTCTCCCCCGAAGCCGTTGTGGCAATCCGTCTCTTATATCATCGCTAGGTAACGCGATGATTTCCTTCTCTACTATCTACCACTTGCATATCTCGATATCTTTAAATCAATATTTACGATGAAGCATCCCCCACTCGACTTACTCTATCTGTCCCTCAGAAACATCATCGTTTAGACTAACAGCCCCTTCTCTTTTAGACGGACTGATTTATCCGAGCCAGGTCCGCTGTAAATCTCCTCCCAGCTCCACTGAGAACCACACATGGAACGGATGATGCCCATCTTAAGGTACACCTTACTGTTGCATGCGGAACCACCCCCCGCGTCAGCTTATCCCAGTAATATTAACCCTCCAACCCTGATCTGACATTTTCATTCCTTTTGAATTGTAGACAAAGGGAAAGCCGCAAATGTAAAGGTGCCGAGTTTCTTTCGGTCTGACGCTGTACTACATTGGTATATGCGCGGGGCACGCGCACCTCGAGTTTACTGGCAAATTGTGGAGCAGCCCCCAGCCCATTCATGCAGGTAGGTCAGTCAGCTCAGGACCTGGCTTCTTTGTGATAACGATAGTTCCATGCATTCCGGTCATAGCACCCATTTATTAGAATTTAGATCACCTTTCCAAGTTTGGCTCCGTAAGTAATGCAGTGTCAATCTACTTAGCACTAATCCACTTTCAACTACAATAGGTGAAGCAAGAGAACCGTTGCGCAGATTTCCAGGGTGTGACCCAGACAAGATCTCAAAATAATGGAGCGATTTCGGACTATTCCACAGGATGAATAGCAGCGATCGCGCCAGAACAATCACACCAGTCTAGTGGAAAGACTCCTGAATCCGCGTCTCCGGTGACCAGCTTCGTGGGGTTGGATCGGCCAATTTGTCATCTGGAAGGACGATACGGATTCTATTTTCCCGTGAAGTAAGCGCAGCGACCATGTATCAAACCGAACTTTCGGCCCAGTCAAGTCCGGAGTTAACGGGTGCGATCCCGAAACGGGGGGGCTGGAGTATCTACGGAGTATTGTTCTCAGCATGCACTGCCTATTGTTGCTTATTCCCACGACACCAAAACCCTCGTATCGATGGCACATTACTGTCGTCACCATTTCCCCTTGGTACCACCCCCATCAATATTTTACCCCTCTTTCTTTCTTGAAAAGAAAACAGAGGCATTGATGGTATTGCGTGCTCTATGGGGGTCCCCCCTCAGGAGAGAAACATCATGTCAGGTTCGTTGCCGACTTCCTGGTGGGGCTGGAGGGGACGCTTGATTTCCAAATATGTATCCCGGTCTGATCGCTTCTGGAGGAGTCATCCTCCCCCGTTATATACATCCAGTCATACACCCGTACAACTCTGCTGCACTACCCTGTAAGAGGTAGTTTAAGCGCCATGCTGTCATGCAGCTACTTCACGCTTACTCGAAAGTCACAAGATAAACTCCTTGTCCATTAAACGGGGAGCTCCTGCAACAGGCCGCCACCCCGGCGATAGGAGGCCAATCCCTTATCAAGATCAAGGGTGATGGGGCAGTTGCCGTCATGGGTGGAAAAGAATCCGCAAGCTGTTTTGTCAGCTTGGGGCGCTCTAGCCAAAAGCTCTCTCCGCTGCTGCAGAGGGGACCGGCGGGTAGCCAGGAGTCTTCGGACTACAGTAGCCCGGACGGCAAAATTGGCCAGGTGGGGTGGGTTGGGATGGAGGAGCCCCAAAGGTCTGCAATCGATGATGATCTATCTCGGATGCATGGAGAAGCTATTTATCCGGTGACGATCCCAAGACGGTTTAGTGTTCCGTAGGCGGTCTGCAACTCTTCCCCATCACGGGACTTTGGCTTGCCCTGGGGTGGTCCGGCTCGCTAAGCGTCCCGTTTGGGGTTAGGGCGAGCCGCACCGAACACACCTCGCAATTTGTGAGCCTTGTGCGTTGTCCCGTTACCCTATCGAAGCGACGACAACCACGACAACCCGGACGACTTTTGCGGGTCATACCTCCCTTCCTTCGACTTTTTGCGTTGCCCGCTGCTGCTCAGAGAAACGCCGTCAGAATGCCTTCGGAACAAGGTCACAGACGTGAGTGCCATCATTTTCCGGATATCAGATATGTGTGCGCGATGGTTGGAATATGGGGATGGAGAAGGATAGATGGGGATATGCGGGCGCATATTGGACGAAATGCTGAATGAAATGCTAACTGAATATTTTTGCGAATTATAGTCTATGTCAAGTAAGTTCACCACAAACCGTCCGCCGTCGAATTCGCGCACATTCCGGATATGAATATCAAAAATATCAAGATCCATGTCGGAACATCAGAGATACGGGCCAAGCGATGGAATGCAACGATAACAGACCGGTTAATACGAATTCTTTCTACAGGGGTCGCCACGTGAGCTACCAGCGCTCCAAGCGTACCGTCAACCCCAACACCAGGTACTTGCGATCCGCACCGATATCGATATAGAGGAACAAGGGAATCTGACACATGGGTTATCTAGTCTGATCAAGATCGACGGTGTTGAGAGCACTGAGGCCGCAAAGTGAGTAGCGAATGGGTCCGGGATCGAAATATCAGAACACACAGCTAAGACGGGATTTTTTTACAGCTTCTACCTGGGCAAGAAGGTTGCTTTCGTCTACCGGGCCAAGCGTGAGGTCCGGGGCTCCAACATCCGGGTCATCTGGGGCAAGGTTACCCGTCCCCACGGTATGTGATGCACAGCTCCATTGCGCCGACGATTACCACGGCAATATATATATCTATATGTTATTGGTGATTGCTGGAACCGAGAACGTTCGGAAAACTAACAACACTTCCCTCATGAACAGGTAACTCCGGTGTTGTCCGTGCTCAGTTCCGCCACAACCTCCCCCCCAAGACCTTCGGTGCTACCGTCCGTGTTATGCTGTACCCCTCCAACATCTAAATGACGCCCCTTTTGTTACGTTAGTTGGCAACTCCGGATTCTACGCGCAGACGGTCGGGCAAGGAGTCGACGGAATGAGCCGAATGTTGAGATGGAGTTGGCGGGTTGATAATGTTCGTGGGAGAGGCAGGGCCGGTCAGCCCTACGAATTAAAATAAAAGAACTCTTATCTTCTTTTTTTCAGCATGGTTATTGTCAGCCCTTTTTTCCCCCTTAAAGGCAACGGACGAGCTTGATATCCCTGGTTTTTTTATACTTTATATTCAAACCGGCCAAGCATGCTGTGCCTTTTGGGCCGACAACATGGCTCCCCGTGTATCTGATGCTCATAAACCACAATCCATACCATTTCAACATATCGGTACAATTGCTTTTCTCTGGGGAATAGTGTGAGCGAGGTGGATGGTAGTTCGGTTGTCAAATATCTTGTCTCTCGAGATGACGATAAGCGACGTCTTACCCAGAGCGACACAACTGCAACAGCAAACCCCGTCTTTCCCCAATAGTCGGCACATTGACATGATTTCGATATCTTCCCCGCCATAAAATTCCGACTAGTGCTAGTTCTGCACCGTTGACTGTTGTCAACAACCATACGTAATAAGCATCAGATCTCCGGAATATGAATACCCACACCTGTCATCGTAGACCCCACCCGTGATCAATAGTGATGACCGATACGGAGTGCTATGCGTCAATCTATATTGGTTTCCAGTGTGGCAATGCACGCTTTTCTTTTCTCGCCATGGTGCTATCAATTCTAAGCTAGCTGTCAGATGAAGTTCTATGCATATACTAAGTCCAGAACTTAAGGTACTCTTCAACTAGTGACCTCAGTGGTGTATGAACTGAGATAGCAAGCCTCAGTCAACTACGCCATAGGCAGAGCTCGATTTCGTATTGCCAACGATTTCATTAAGCATTGCTTTTTTTTTTTTTTTTCTTTTTGTTTTGTTTCTCATCGTTGATCAATACTATAAACAGACATTATCTATGCTGCTACTAGTAGTAGGCATTACGGATACGGAGAGGCAGGTTGAAAAGATGTATTGCATTATTATCACACAAATGATAGAGATAAGACATAATTTTAAGTCACATACATCAAGCATACTAAGGATATAGCCATAAATACACCGGTTTGACCTCAAGAAATAAATAAACATCTTAAAGAGTATCTGCTGGTAGCCAACTGTCAATGTTTTTGAATGTCGGGCTGCTTTAGGCAATGTTGTTCGGTAGTAGTAGGGGGTGCTGTGACAAACTGAAATCTGGTGGTTTGGTTTCTCTGTCCTAGCTTTTTGTCATTTGATATTTGTATAAGCTTTGATGCATTAGTATGGATGGTATCGATGAGAGGAATAGAGTGAACATTAGTGCCACTAAATTGCAAGAAGTAGTGGTGATATATATTCTGAATGAAAAGCTGGGCGGTATGGGATTGGAACTGCCAGAATGTGCTGGTAGGGTTTCATGCTAGCAATTCTAACACGCAATGAGCGAGAGCATAATTTAAGGGGCAATATGTATATAATATATTAGTGGGTCAAGTAATTCCAGTTCAGAGTTGTAGTTGCTATAGGGGGACCGAGCAGATGTTGACATGTTTGTTTAGGGATGATTACTTTTGTAGGACAGCTGCAGGTCTCTAGTTGAGTATAATACGATTTTCTAGGTGTTACAGAAGGAAATATATACTAAGAGCATTTTATACCGATTCAGAGTTGAGTAAGATAGGGCAGCCCCTGTGACCGCTACTGATGATTGTGTTGTATGGTTAAAAAGTAGGTCAAGTTTCATGTGCTGATGACGAGGGGACATTATGAACTGTATAAATTTCGCATTCATTAATCAATCTGCATATGGCTTGGCTGAGCTTTAAAGTGTCTGGCCTTAAATTGCGCTTAGATTGGGGCATGTCACAGAATGCATTGTTTGCAGTCAAAAGTAATGGTGAAACAGCGGTCTCATGCTAATTGATCAGATAACGCTAATGCTGGCTGGGATGGTTGGCATCCATGCAAAAACATAAATAATCTCTAGCAAAGATGTCCATTGTACTTAGATTATTGGCATGTCGGTATGCCGATAGCATTCTCAGGACCCAGCTTGTAGTCGTGGTTGGTCTGATCAAACCATGATTGAAGTTAATTTGACTCGTTCTGGAATGCACCCACCTCACGATATATATCCGGGTCACGGTTGGGTTCTGTCAAAGTAGGGGCATTTCAACAAATGAAGGACGTCACAGTATGCCTCTGGGCCCTTGAATATGATATCAGAAGCTTAGCACTTAACTGCGCGAGCTATCTCCGCAGCGCGGTCAATAAGGCTGAATGAGGGAAGTTCCGGAAGGGTAAACTCCTTGCATGGAGATTCTGTCACGATCCCGAATTAACAGTAATTAAAGTAGGCGCCATCCCCGCCCCCAATGACCCACTTACAAGGACTGATGGGGATCGACAGATCGCCTCGGCCGGAATGATAGAATTCTTACATAGTATGGAGTAGGTTGTAGGTTACTAAGAGGTTGGCTTACAGGTTGCTTGCACTTGCGCGAGTTTGAGCCAAGATCCTCCTTCGCGTATTGTTCCTTGCTGGAGGTACCTTGCTTGATCGCAACGTGTGCGACGCTAAGTCGGTTAAATAATTCCAGAAACATTCAAGCGCGTATGCATTGATCTTCTTAATTTCGGGGATGCATGGGCTATTTTTAATTCCTGTAAGTTTGCAGGCCTAAGTATGAGCCTGCCAGATGTGCAGAGCCAAGAGCGACTGCCAACCTCAAAAGGGCGGTTAGTTGTCTCAGTGTGGGAGGCAGTCAGGCGGACTAGATGGATGGGATTGGACTGGAACGACCGCCATAGTCAGACATGTAACGCCGCCGCTCAGCAGAGTGGAGGGGCAATTGAGACAGGCAGACATATTCCAGGTTTCATTCTGCGGTGCTGGTGGGCCAATTGGAAGGCCACGGATAGCAGAAGGTGCGCTTCCCTGGTGCAACTAGAGAGAATTTGGATAAAGATTTTAAGAGTACGTAGTGATATGCCACCGTCTCGGTGGGTGAGATACAAAGTCGTATTCTCGTATCTGGCCGTACCGGCCAGTCTTACCACCAACTAAACCATTTTGGTGTATTCCGAGTAAAAATAGGAAATCAACGGCCGGGATAATCCACCCGGAAGTGAAAAGATAGTCAAGATAGTAAAAAAGTAACAGAACTGCGGAGTGGCTTGCCTGGGCTGCCTGGCCCATTTTTTGGGCATGGATGATGTCGACGGCAGCCGATCTGTGCGAAGGGCTGAAGTTTGCTTGATTTCTTCCGATTGTGCGCAAGCAGGACGATCAGACGGGAAGAGATGGCTGGTGACATGGGATTTGCGACAGCGCATCCTAGTCGACAAGTCATCGCAGTCATCGCACACACACACACACACACACACACACACACATCAAGTTCCATGCTTTTCTTAGTACCAAAATCATTTGCTTACTTTTTTTTTTTTTTGTTTTCTGTTCTTCAGTGACTATAGAGTATGTTTCCTTTTCCTTTCGGGTATGGTGCCTGAGACGGTGACAGATGGTCCATGGAAAGGAAGCCAACCAGAAAGAGTTCGCTGGGTGGCTGGGCCATCCCACAACGAATGATTGGCCAGTAGGCAACGAGAAGAGGGGAAAGCTGCGTAACACTATCGGTATTTTTTATGCATTTGGTCTTTTTATTCTTTTTTGTGTTCACCAGCCAAGATACGGTAACGAGGGTAATTCTATTTCCAGTCGAGCTGGTACTGGATTTACTTTTCCCGCTGCCTTGAACTTGGTGGGGAAATGCTGGGCATGACAGATGGAGAAGTGAAGATGTAGATGTTTTGAAGAATTGAATGCAATGCGTATTTGTCATTTGTTCTCTTAGAAATGAATTGACTTCGAGGAGAGAAACGGGAGGATGAAAAGTTGAAAGAGAAAAAAGAGGAAAGTTCCATGGAAAGAGGATCTCCGGACAGTGAACGGGCAAACATCAGGGAAAGTTTCCAGATTCTTCTGGCCGAGTGGCTCTTGACTATAACGCCATCGTCCAACCCGAGCTGATAGGACGACTTGCAATCGTCCATCCATCGGTTCGAACAAGCGTTCCCCTCTTCATTGCGTGGCGCCTGTCGTCAATACCACCGGCCCGTACAAGTCAAAAGGCCTCAATGGCCCTCCCCGATTCTCTCTAGTAGTAGTTCAGTACTTGTTGGTTGCCGACTGCCACCTGCTTTTCTTTTTCACACGCTCGTTTGTACTTTCTCCTCTTCCATCTGCACGGTCGACTGGAGTGGTGCTTTCTTGCTTGCTTGCTTGCTCACTCGCTTCCTACTACTTTCCATCTCCATCTTCATCTTTCCTACATAGTACCTACATTCTTCCCTACTAACCTACTGTCTTGGCATCTCTAGCTTGAGGCTATCGCATCTTCCTTACTGTCGATCACTTTGAGCGCACTGCGGATGGACCACCTTCTTGCAGTCACTATCGCTTAACCTACGGACGCTCTGGTCGGTCGATTTGATCGGACGATACACTACTACATACAGCTGTGCTTCAAGCCTGCCACACTTCCCCACCTTCGGTGTCACTTTGATTATTCTTTTAAAACGGCGTGGATCTTTGTGTGTAGAGACAAATTGCGGAGTTGATACTACTTCCAACTTTTGGCGACATTTCCACACTTTTCGGTGCTTTAGACTTTCCCCAGAATATTGGGACAGACATCAGACATCCAAGTGAATATCCGCTCGTGGATCCATCAAAAAAGCAGCCCCCCCACGTTGCCTGCGCTGCTTAGTTTCGTTGGCTGCCTCCTGGCTGCATTCTGAAACCACGCTCCAAAAAGCCCGAGAATCATCGCGCGCGATCATCATACATTCCTTGGCGGTTTCCACACCGGATCGTGCTTGCGCTCCACAACGGGCGCCATAGCTTAGACAGCGTCCTGCGAAAACCTGCTCCAGCTGTTGGTTATCAGGCGCTAAGGTCGACGGGGTGATAAATAAAATGGCGACCTCCCAGCCGGCCGTGCCTCCTGGCAGGCAGTCTCGTGGCTTCAGTTTGGGTGCAAAGTCGGATCGGTCGCAACGGTCCAGCAATTCCAGCAAAAGGCCCCAGATATCGGAATCCTCAGACGAGAAACATCGCCGCCAACTACATTCCAAAGCCGATCCCATGGTTGCTATGAGTGAAGCGCAACCTAGTACGTATCCGGAACACTCCCCCCTTATCTCTCTGCCTATTGCACTCCTGGATTTCGGCCTGCCATAACAAAACAGCCAAATCCTTCCATTCTCATTATGCTGCCTCCAATCTGCAACATTTACTTCCCTCAAGCATACAAACTGACTCGTTTCCCCAGATTTGGTTGCTCTCGAGCAGTCGACGCTGGGTTCGTTACGGACCATGCAGCATAAAGATCAGTATGGAAATATTATCAGTTCGTATACCATACTTCCCTGTTTGGACATATATTCTGGGTGACATCTTGCTGATTGCTCTCCTCTTCTCTCACAGCTGATCCCGATCTCTCTAACCCCACGCGCCCGCGGTTTGAACGTCCGCTTGAAACCATCCGATCTTTCGAGGCGGCAATTTATGGGACATACAGCAGTAGGCCTGCTTCGTATGTAAGGACAGGTGAGTCATCCCTTACTCCGGTTTGCTCGACCCGGCGGTTGATTGACGATGCATTACAGAATCGACTCCTGCAACTCCGGGGCCAGACCACAGTCGGCGGGGAAGCTACTTTGGAGGTATTTCTCAATCCCACAAGTATTGCGTTTTGGCATACAGTCGCCATGTCCATTGTATTATTCGAGAGAGGACGTTTTGCTAACTAGAAGGTTTGGTATAGCGCAAAACGGCCATTCGCACCGGGGCCACTATGATCAGGGCGGCCATTACAATGGTCGCGGAGCCTATTCGCGACCGGACAGCTATGTCGAGAATGGTAATGGCCAGTCTGACAACTATTACCCCTACAACCAGGGCGGCGGCCGACCGCGACCACGCCACCATGCACGGATGAACACCGACCAAAGTGGATATTCACAACACGGCTATCACAAATCATATGACAACATGACCGCAGCGTCTGGCTCGGGCTCTGGCAGCAACACCGACGCTTACGGCAACTCCACCGACCCCAGCTCTGTGAACAGCTCCATTGATCAGTTCCAGCAGCAGCAACAACAGCAGCAGCAGATGGCCGAAAACTATGGGTTCCAAGGATTTGGTGCCGGGCCTAATCTGAACGGACAAGCTGGCGCTGGGGGACGGATCAACTTTGGCAGCAAACCGCCGACGGCTGACCCCAACGCCGGTGGCCCTGTTGGCGGCGGTGCCGCCGTCGCTGCCACAGCCAACCGGCGCCATCTCCGCAAGGCTACGAATGACTCTGAAATGAGCAACGACTCGAAGAAAAAGGGCTGGTTCAAGCGTCGTTTCAGCAAGAACTAGTCATCTGTGAGCCGGCTCCTCACATTTTCTTACCTTACTCTTACTATTCGATGCGTGTTTTCTGATCCGATTTGTCTGGGTGTACAACCTCCGCGGCGTTCAAGAGTCATGTTCAAGCACAGCACTGGGATTTCGGGACGGACTGTGTCGGGTTTGGATTCGATTGCAACTTTTATTTTACTCTTTCATCTTTGCATGCGGTTGACGAGACCATGATACATGGATGCCTTTTTTTCTGTTCCTCCTTACCTATTTCTTTCTCTGCCATGACAGTGCATGAGATACTAGCCAGTATGATGTTGATTGATACGGGTGAAGTTGTGAGTAATGGTAGGGTAGTGTGACTGAACCAGGGTGATGAATATCTCCATACTTGCTGTCTAATACTGAATAGATACTCAGTAATGACCAGTGTATATCGGTCGTACTTGTCAGTCAAAATACTTCCAGTAATCTGAAATAGCTATCTCCATTGAGAGAAAAGAAAAGGAAAAGAGCCCCACATCATAGACGAACCAAAGAAAAGAAAAGGATAATGTATTACTTTCAGCAATCAGCAGCATGAAACAAAACAAACAACAGGGAATCTCAAATCAAGCGCAAGAACAATAACAACAGAACACCCATCCCCACCCCATTAACACTCCTCACCTCATCCTCCACCCCAAGCAACCATCCAATTCAGTGATGGAAGGGATCTACTTCCTCCCAAACAACTTATGCTTCAACTTATCCGCCAACCCCTCATGCGCAGGCCCCTTATGCTTCTTCTCCTCCTTTTCCTTCTTATGTTCTTCGTCGAGGTGCACGTTACCTTGGCCGCCGCGCTATCGCACCACCATCACCACTCATTAGCATCTACCCTTGCACAAGTTGATAAAGGAATAAATGAAAGGGATATAAACATACCCCAGTATGATAATCCCCATCAACAGACTGCCGAATCGCCAATTCGGGAACTATCTCCGCGTCGTGTGGGATCTTGGATGTTGGGCGCACGTGCGGGGAGCCGATGTTGCCGGCGCCGCCTCTCTTTAGAGTAAATTAGTTAGTATAGTGGTTGGTGGTTTGGGAGGTCGGATGGATTGATGTATGGTGGGGATGGCTTACGCCGGCTGAGTAGGCGCCGTCGCCTTGGTCACCGTAGACTCCTTCGCGGACTATGCCGCCGTCGACGTATCTTCATATTCATGTATATTAGTATTGGGGTTTTGTGGTGGTGGGGTGTTTGGGGGATGAGTGAATGGGTGTAGTGCATACTCGGTGGAGTCGGCGCCGATGTTTCCTTGGCCTGTTTTGTTTGGGGAGTGAATGTTAGAGATGGGTTAATGCAGTGGTTTGAGGGAGCTGGGATGCGCACCTCCACGGCCGTGCGACACAATAGGTTCGTGTTCGCCCATGGTGCAGTAGTTAGGGTAAGTAGTAGTTTCTTGTTCGAGTGGTGTTGTCTATTGAATTGATGTAGTGATTCAATGCGATGATAAGAACGCTGTAACCAAGAGTCTGCGACGAGCGTGTGTGTGCACCAAGTCTAGCCAGACAGTAATGAAAGTGGGAAAGAGAAAGAGTGCAAAGTGGCGGTTCCCGGGGATGGTTCGTATAGATATATTATGTACCACAGGGGTTAGTAGGGTGTAGCGTGTGACTACCTTAGCGCTTTTTTTGGGCGCAATCACTGCCACAGCGGGCCAAGCCAGAGGGTGCGCCCTGGAAGTCAAAGTTAAATTTGCCGGAAGTTCTAGTCTAGTAGCTAATTCAGTGAATATCATTATCGGGATAAATCTAGGTGATTGTTATCGAAGGAACCAAAAGAAGGAAACGATCGGGACGGCATCCGATGACGTCGACGCGCTGATAAGATGCTTGTCCGGATTGGTCCGAGGCGTGACTAACGATTTTGGGGCCCGCCAATTGTTACTAAGAAATGAGTAGCTTCATGTTATCTCTACCAGTTAGGGGTTATCAGTTCAGCTGCTTTTATCACCGGCCTCGGCTCAGGGTTCAATTAAATGTGGTTCATGAAAAGACAAAAGTGGTTCACCATTGCACGAAGAAAACTAGTAAGTAAATTACCCACTCAATCAAATCGGAAGAAAGCTGCACGAAATCAGGTACGGTACAACCCCACACCCCGCCTCCATACTACGGCCACTGTATTCTACATTCTACAGAGTGTCCGGCCCTTCGTGTTAGACAAGGATCTAAGCTCCCGGCGGGACAATCATTTCCATATTACTTCTTCTCTGCAGGAGGGCCACCGCCAGTAGTGGGAAGACCCATGAAGATCTTGAACGAATCGTAACTGCAAAACGTCAGCCGCTGTCTATCGAGAGGGGCATACTGGAGATCTGAAGTAACACATACATCATCCACTGCAGTCCGGTCTAGAGGAGATAACAAGTCAGTCATGATCTGAGAAACATGTACCGATGCACTTACCAAGGTGCCGATCATGACGATACGGACGGGAAGACCGTTCCAGAGACCTCCAAAGCCAATGTCCTTGTAGATCCGGCTCATCGCTGCTCCAAATGCCTCTCCGGCCTGACGGTTCGCATTCAACTTACTGACCATGACATCTGCTGGGTGCGACACGACGGCGCAAAGGATACCAGCCAGGTAACCACCGGTGAAGGCAACAGCGGTCTGCGCACCCTTGTTGTAGTCAGACTTTTGACCCGGCAGGGAGTTATAGATCATCTCGACAATCGTTTCGAAAGACGCAAACTTCATCATGGTGTAAGGGATCTGTCGACCCCAGAGAGGGTAGAGACCCTTGTACAGGCTGCGGCAGTCAGCTACTAGGGATCGACTGCTCGCATTAGCAGCACTTACCCGGCCACACCTTCCTTATTAACCACGCTAGAGATACCAGTAAAAGTTGAACGAATATCAGGTGGGATAGTCGTCTGCATGCGCACCTTGACGGCCTCGAACGGACACAGAGCGACATCAGCGATAAGCTCCGCCGACGCACTGGCGGTCAAGTACAGAGATGTCTTCCACCGTGCTGCGTTCTCAGCACCGACAAGGTCGCTGTAAAACTTCTTGAAGAACTCATAACCACCATACTTGAACGCTCCTTGGGCCTTGTACTCAATTAGAAGGCGCAACGCATGCAATCCAGTCTTGACTTACACTGTATCCAAAGAAAGTGGGACCCCAACCGGTGAAAACTCCGCGGAGACCCTCAGCACCGCGAATTGTACGGAATGCCTCTGCATTACTCTTGTACAGCAGAGGATCGACCTGACGGCGGCATTTGATCAAATCAAGAGGCGTCACAGCGGTGTGGGTGAGACCCTAGGACCAGCCAAGAATTAGTATTTATAGGCCACTATACAGCGTTCATTAGCAGAATGGAACATCTACTTACGCAAGCAAGCATTCCTCCAACCGTGCAAGCAGCATAGTACTTAGGAGTCCATGGCTCGATCTTGCCGGTCTTGGCTTGAGCTTTCTGACTCGCAACTTCGAACTCTCGGCTCGCTTCCTTAGCGATAGCATCGGCCTTCTTTTCGATGTCTTCGACAACGTTCCAGGCGGGGAACGGCTGGCGTCTCTTCAAGCCCGCAGCTTCCGGCTGTTGGGTCTGCTGAGACTGGCTCAGAGGGCTTTGGGAAGCGAAGGCGCGAGCGATATCCCCTCCAGAAGGAAACATGATGGGCACTTCTACCTATAATTGTTATTATCTGCGTTAAAGCGGTTCTAAACAGGTCTATAATGGCGGTATTGCATCGCGGTGGTTCCTTATCTATACAAGCGGGTCCACTTACAACACTATATCGGCAGTATAGTCGGACGGATGACGATGTATAGAACGGAAGTCCACACCTAATCTCGTCTTCTTCGATTGAAGAAATCGACGCAGAATTCAGAAGACAGCCTGATTCTAACAAAAAAGGATTCTTCAGAGAAAGGAAGCGAAGGAACCTTCTGAGTGGTATCTGACAGTCGGTGATGGTGCCGCTGACGTCGCGTGATGGCACTAACCGCTTTCGGGGATCCCGTCAACTGGTTGATCTGAAGCGATGAAATTTAATCTGATTGGAGCAACCTCAACCTGTGCTTGATGCTTTTTGGGTGTAACTCAGTAATCCGGCTCTCTATTTCTTTGAAACACTTGCTTTCCGCAAAAATTAGTGTTTAAATTAATTGAGCGCAACCCTCAAAAACTATCTCGACAACTTCAAGGGTCCCCAATTGACCGTCCTCTCGGAACCTTCCCTCCCGTGCCCCTCATCGAGTCACTGCGGGATAAGTTGATCACCAACACTCCCACTACCACCAGCCTCACCAACACTACCCAACACACCAACCCAGAGAAAATGGCCTCCTATATGAACGCCAGCGAGGCGCTGACCCAGCAACAACTCGCACAAAATGCAGAGCAACCCATCGCCCAGTCCGCATGGGCAAACAAATACCGCGGGGTGAGTCCGCTTGCTTCTTACCAGTGATGTTTCGCAAGAGTCAACAGAAACAAAATAACTAACATACCACCGGCATACTAGGCGACAGTAGAGGACCTGGACCCCAACCCAGCCCTATCCGTTTCCCCCGACGATCTGATCTCCACCGCCCTGATGGCCGCTTACGAACGTGACTACACACACCTGACCGTTACCTCCTCGACGAAACGCTCTCTGGTCGGATACCTGAGCATCCCCCGACTAAAGGAGCTTCTCAAGGACGGCACTGTCAAGGAAAACGACCCCGTCTCTGCCGCCATGCAGCGATTCAACCGCAAGAAGGGCACATACCAGGTCATCACGATGGAGACACCGCTGGAGGAGCTGGAGCAGTTCTTCGAGAGTGAAACCGGTCCTAACGGAGAGAAGAGGGCTAAGCAGGATTTCGCTGTAGTTACGGATGTGTCGCGCAAGTTCGTGCTGGGTGTTGCGACAAAGGCGGATTTGGCTGAGTTCGTGAAGCGGAGACCGAATTAAGTGGTTGCATGATTGCATATGATGGGTTTTCTGGGCTTCTTTTTTTTTGGTTCATACTTTGCATTATATAATGGAATGCTTGCTGCGAATCTGCTGTTGATGTCGTGCATCTCAAGGCGCAGATATGTAATTTGAATTGAACATATTACTCGCCAGGATGGCTCATGTTAATGTTGAAAACAGATTGGAGGCATTCACTCAGGCTGTGTGTTATCTGCCTTATTGTTGGCATAGTAAGTATACCTTGAGGTAACCGTGACCAATCACACAACCAGTAACCCAGAAGGTATCATAACACTCAGAGTAGTATTTCCCTAAACCATTACATACATACTATCCCGACATAGCTTTCAAGACAAACGAGACGACAAGTACATACCTAGCATGCGAAAACAGAGCGATCCATGAACGCCATCTCTGCAATACAGGGCCCCCAGAGCCAGGAATAAAATGAAAGGAAAACAACAAAGACAACAAGACAGAGTGGCTGTACCATTTACTGTGCCTTTTTCTCCTTATACTTGGCGTCAGCTTCCCTCTCCGCCTGATCATCCTTCCACGCAACATAAATGTATGCGACGAGAACTACGTTAGCCATGATGGCGGCCACAATACCGCCGACTGTGGGGCTTGCTATTCCAAAGTGTTAATCGACATGAAGATAGTTAGTAACTGGAGTGTAAATGGGATTCCCACCTCCAAAGTCTACCGTAACAAAGTACATCCCGATAGGAATGACGACCATGGCGAAGGAAAATCCGAGAAGTTTCATGATCACATTTCTGAAGGTGATGTGTTAGTTAGAGTTAGGGAGGGGGTGGTATGTGCGTAATATGTATTGATAAGGTGTATGCGTTCGTTGGGCTGAACCGGTAGTTCAGGATAGCCGCCATGTGGCCTAGTGTTCGTTGGTGAGGGACGAATGAGATGCACCTACGTGGGAACGGCAGGGGTCACATCTGAGTCAGAGGGCTTTGGAGAGCCCGAAGATGCGACAACATTCTTGGGAGAAGGAGATTTCTCTGCGGAGCGACGAGTGGCCATGTTGATGATGGTAGTTGGTTGTGGTGTTGACAGGTTTGATGTTGGGTGTTGATTTTCCGGGGACTAATGCGTGAAAGCCGGAGGATGATCGACAAAAAGGGTTCAGGATATAATTGGTGATGACAAGTACAGCTTCTCCTATCCTATTTAAAGAGTATACAGTATCCTCACGAGTACACTGTTCGTCTGGATGGGATTTGAAATAAGTAGAGAGACATGGATTATTTTATACAGCGGATGATTTCATTCCGGAGTTCAGGCAATACCGGCCTCTGATTGGTCCATTTACAAGAGGGGACATCTGGCTGCGTTTTTAGTGACAAAAGAACAGGCAAAGACGGTGGAAAGAGGATCGCCTTAGTGAAGAGACCAGCCTTGTACCGGTGAATCATATAAAGAGGGAGCTCTGATCCCCCCCGGATCAAGAGGGGGTTGGCGTCCAACTGCCATCCTCGGCTTTAATTGAAGCGCCAGACCACGTGACCACAGCGCGTCCCGGGCGCGTTTTGCGGAGAAAATCCCAGGCGGTCGATTTATCGTTTCGCCTCGAGAGGATCCCCGATCGATCTTGACATCTTCCTTTCAAGTTCCCCCCAATTCGGTGCTCCCCTTTGGCTCTTGCCCCGGGGCATGACGCCATCCTCTCGTCTGCCTTTCTCCCTTTGATAATCTTGAGTCACCGACCATGGAAGACACTGTCCCCGATACGCCCGTGAGCGACAAGAAAGTCGTTCACAGTACCCCAACCAAGGATGATGCAGCAGAATATGAGACGGTTGCCACCGTGCCTGTCAGCCATCTCCAGCCACTCGCAACTCAATCCTTGACCCCTGCCACCCAGCGCTACACTCAGCCTACGCAAGTGTTGGACGTTCCCTACTCCGGAAAGAACAATTCCTTCGTTCAGGTCGCCGCATCCTCTCCTCCAGGTCCGAATTCCTCCCCCTCTCATCCTACTCCGAACGGCGGTCGTCTTTCCAGTGCCATGGCCCCGGCTGGCACCAGCTTTCGCCCTCCTGTCGGTCCGGCTAAGCGTGCGCCCATAATAGACCTCGAAGATGACGGCCCGACTTATCGCGGCGGCTCATCTGATGATGACGACCGAGCGTCGAGAAGCATAGATATCAAGCCCTCTTTGTTCGCCAAATCGTCGCGCAGCCCTGAAAAGGTCGCGGAGTCTCCGATGGATCGGTTCAAGCAGATCACCACATCCGCAGTCTTCAATCCTTCTAGTGCGAAGCGCCCGGCAGCTCAAATGGACCCCGCTCCCAGAGGCACGGCCGTGAAGAAGGTTCGACAGGATGGCCCCTCGCGTGCCCAGCCTGTGGGTACGAACATCACTTCGCTGCAGGACATAGATGACTATCAAGTTAGAGTTAAGGTGGAGAGGATGTTGAAGGTCATGCCGCAGAAGTCTGTGCATGCATGCATGCAGGCGCTTCTCTCAAAACGTGGGAACTACGAGGCTGCCCTGGAGCACCTGGCTGATACGGAGAAGGCTGAATCTTCCGAGGACGAGCTGATTGCGAGCAAGCGGGCCTCCCCTGTTGCGCCCGCGAAGCAGCAGATTAAGGCGCGCGGAACCATTCAAGACAAGTGGTCTGCCATGAACATGCAGAGGACATTGTCGGCCCAGAAGCAGCAATCGCAACCGTCACAGCCAGCGGAAGAGGACGCGAAACCGCGCAGGCGCTTAATGAGAGGGCCCAAGTCTCGGGCGTCTTCCCCTAATCCGGTTCGTTCTGAGCCTCGTGCTGAGACGCCGCCCAAGAAGACTGGCCGTCTAGTCCAAGGGCGGAAGCCTGCCTCCCCTCAACGCTCGGAGTCCCCTGAGGCTATGATAATATCAGACGAGGATTCCGATTCCGGCGTGGAGGAATCAGCAGGGGATGGTCAAGTGGAGACAAGAGTTTTGAACTTCTTCAACAAATGCAGCGTTTTGGACCTTGCTGACATCGCCGCGATTACTGAAGACGTTGCGAAACATGTCATATCCTTCCGACCGTTCTCATCGCTCGACCGTGCCCGTGCTGTTCCTCCGCCGGCGAAAGAAGAGACGAAGCCCAAGGGCGGCCGTGGCCGTAAAACGCCAAAGCCGATCGGCGACAAGATTGTCGACAAGTGTATTGATATGTGGGTTGGTTACGAGGCGGTGGATTCTTTGGTTGCAAAATGTGAAGCGCTCGGCAAGCCAGTCGCGGCGGAGATGAAGAGATGGGGTGTGGACATCTTCGGAAAGAAAGAGGGAGAACTGGAGCTGGTATCCATCAATCCCAGAGATGCCCACTCTCAGTCTCATGATTCCGGGATAGGAACACCCGCTAGCCAGCGCTCGGATGAGGATAGTGACGGTCCCGCACCTGGACCGCGCAAAGGCCGTTTCATCTCTCAGCCCGGGATCATGCGCGATGATTTGAAGATGAAAGATTACCAGATCGTGGGCATCAATTGGCTGTCTCTCCTGTTTGAGAACCAATTGAGTTGCATCTTGGCCGACGACATGGGTCTTGGAAAGACCTGCCAGGTCATTGCCTTCTTGGCGCACTTGTTCGAGAAGGGAATCAAGGGTCCTCATCTCGTTGTTGTGCCCTCGTCTACGATCGAAAATTGGCTCAGAGAGTTCTCGAAGTTCTGTCCCACGCTCTCCGTCATGCCTTACTACGCTGGTCAGGCAGAGCGGGCAGTCATCCGAGAAACGATTGAAGACAACCGAGATAGTATCAATGTTATCATCACCACTTACACGATCGCCAAGGGCAAGGTAGATGCCCACTTCCTCCGCAATATGGACTTTTGTGTCTGCGTCTATGATGAGGGACACATGCTGAAGAGTAGCACATCGGTGCTCTACGAGAAGCTTATCAGGATCCCTGCCCGTTTCAGACTTCTTTTGACAGGTACGCCGTTGCAGAACAACCTGCAGGAGTTGGCCTCGTTGCTGGGCTTCATCCTTCCGAAGGTGTTCCAGGAACGCAAGGAGGAGCTTCAGTACATCTTTGCGAACAAAGCAAAGACCGTGGATGAATCGCATTCGGCTCTCCTTTCCGCGCAACGGATTGAACGCGCAAAGTCTATGCTGAAGCCTTTCGTCTTGCGACGTAAGAAGCACCAAGTCATTGACTTGCCTGCAAAGATCTCACATGTTGAGTACTGCGAGATGAACCTTGCGCAACGCGAAATCTATGAGCATGAGAAAGAAGAGGTCCGCAAACTGTTGGCTGACCGAGCCGCTGGAAAGAAGACTGGTAACAAGTCCGCCAACATTCTGATGAAGCTCCGACAAGCCGCCATCCATCCCCTGCTTTACAGACGTCACTACGATAACTCCACTCTGAGCCGCATGGCCAAGGCTTGTCTCAAGGAGGAGCAATGGTCTCTATCAAACCCGGATATCATTTATGAGGAACTCCAAGCATACAACGACTTCGAGTGCCACACCATGTGTGTGGACCACCCTCATTCTCTGGGCAGGTTCGCTCTGAAGAACAACGAATGGATGGACTCCGGTAAAGTAGACAAACTTTGTGACCTTCTGAAGCGGTTTAAGGAGAACGGCGACCGTGCTTTGGTCTTCTCTCAGTTCACACTAGTCATGGATATCCTCGAACACGTCCTCGAAAACCAGCACATCGGCTTCGTTCGGCTGGACGGCAGGACAAACGTCGAAGACCGCCAGTCCATCCTGGACGCGTTCCACGAGCGTACCGAAATCCCCGTCTTCCTCCTTTCCACCAAAGCCGGTGGTGCAGGCATTAACTTGGCCTGCGCCAACAAAGTCATCATCTTCGACTCCAGTTTCAACCCCCAGGAGGACGTCCAGGCCGAGAACCGGGCCCACCGTGTTGGCCAAACCCGTGAAGTGGAAGTCATTCGCCTTGTGACAAAGGGAACCATTGAAGAGCAAATCTACGCTCTCGGACAGACCAAGCTTGCGCTCGACCAAGCCGTGGCCGGTGAAGAAGGCGCCGAGTCCAAGAAGGCCGAAGATGCAGGCATGAAAGTGGTCGAGGATATGGTTCTTGCGGACATGCAGCACGATAAATCCGATGACGCATAAACGTGACACATTATTTTGTACTCTTGCTACTATATGCTATATGGTAGCTTAAAACATGTATCGGGCGCAATCTTGTTTCATTCTATCTTCTGTCTTTGTTTCATCCAACCTACAACTTATGTTCTCCATCCCTCCGTCTAATACACGATACACCAGCGATTGATAAACCCATGCTTGCTCGCATGTGACCGTTACCTTGTGTTTCCCAGCGGTCTTTTCCACCTACCTACCTATCTAACACATACACACCCTTACATTACAGCATCACCACAGAAAGTGGCAGTGCTTACAAACACATTCATACCTACACGACGCGGAACATATGCCGGAGATGTTGTTTTGCTAGTAGTTTAGTTTCACCGAACATTTCGGTTTTGTGGGCTGAGGAAGTGGGTTTTCTTCTCTATTGGGTCTTGGTTTCTCTTGCTTTTCTTCGACTGTTTGATAATAGAAAAGGAGTTGGGGTTTTCTTGTGTCTTTACTCTTCTTCCTGTGTCTCGGTGGTTGGTTTCAATACGCATACTACTACATACTACATATATAGGTGGGCGTTGATACTAGTAATATATCGATTGGTTGACTAATCGATAAGTGGAATCATTGTGTAATTGACTTGTCTCGTTTTATGCCTTTGTGGGATGGCGAGTATTGCCAGTAACCGTGTCTGTGATGACTATAATACAATTAGGCGCGACTAATGGCTGACACCTCCTGCTAGTAGATACAACTATTTGAATTCGTATATATTCGTGTAGTACTATGTATATATAATCCCTGGAACACGAGAGCCTCTATTAACAACACACCGTGGGAATCTAATTAAAATGCAGCAAATGGGGGAACCGATATACAACACCAGATAATGCGATAGTAGCTTGAAAACCAAAAAGACAGGGGAGGAAAGGCAAGACAAGGAAGCAAGGGATACAGAAGCATCAGTTTGAATTAAGCTGTCAGCTCCTGCTTTTGGGGCGCAGCATCAGGAATCGGAACAGAGACATCAGCCTGGGTCTCAGCCTCAGTCTTGGTCTTTGTAGGAGCTGGGATGGAGTTGGTGCGAATGGGTCCGCCTGCGCTGACTGCAGGGGATGTGGACTTGACACGAGAGGCACCGCCAGCAGCCCGTGCGGATTCGTTGTTCTCCATGGCGTTCTGGACAGCCTTGCTGCGGATGTGTTCGGGCTGGAGGTCTTTGGTGGTAACGGACTTGTCGGTGAGGTTGAGGATGTCGTCCACGTGCATGGCGAGGGGAAGGAGATCCTCGAATCCGAGGGCATGGCATGTGTCGGCGTAAGATCTGGCTGCCTTAGCGTTCTTGCCTTCCTGGAGCTTGCCGGGGACGAGGATGTTGAGGAGATATTTGGAGTTGCCGAAGCGGTTCTCGGACTCGAGACAGAACTTGATGTATTCGTGGACTACCTCCTTCCAAGGGAGAAGGCCGCCCTCAGCTTCGGTACGGAAGCAGGATGGGTTTGCTTCTGCAGATGTGGCGATCATGGCGCCGTCGACGCCGAATTCTTTCATTAAGGCGTGTCCCTCATCCTTGGAGGTTACATCACCGTTTATGACACATGCGACACCAGCCTCATGACAGATGTCGGCAATCATGCGCACCTGATCACGGATAGCGCGTTCACGGGGCCTCATGGGAGGTGTCCGACAATGCACAGTCAAGCCTGTAATGCCTGTCTTCACGAGCCGCGACACCAAAGCCCTCGTCTCCTCCGGATCTTTCAAGATGCGGATCTTGACCGAAATACCGATCTGGAACGGTGTCCCGACCTCCTTCACCAGGGCTTCCAAAATCGCAACCAACTTATCCGGTGTCTTGAGAAGCGCCGCACCCATACCACCGCTCGTGCTGAAGGGCTTCGGACATCCCGAGTTCACATCGATACCGGCGACATCGCCGGCGACGAGTTTGGCTGCTTCGACGGCGATTTCAGGCGTGGCAGTGCCGATTTGATAGATGAGCTTGCCCTTCTCGCGGACGGGGTCGAGACGGTAAATCACGGATTCTTGGCCTGCCTTTTCGGTGCGGCCACCGTTGGAGGGCATGCGGGTGAATTCGATGGTGCCGTTGCGGGGGTTCACGCGGCGGACGGCGCCTGCCATGGCCCGATCGATGGTTTCGGGGCCCCAAACGAGATCAGCGCCGTACTTGAGGGCGATGAGGCGGGAGGGTAATTCGCCGGAGCGCACCATGGGGGCTAGGACTACTTTGCCACGGTAGTCGACCCCGTTGGCGGGGATGGGGACGCGGGGAGGAGTGGTGATAGAGGCCATTGCGGTGCGGAGGAATCTTAGCATAGCATTATCGGGTTAACGGGAGTAAGGATAGTGTAGTGTGGGAGATGAACGAGCTGTGTGAGCGGTATGAGCCCGTAGGAGTGTAGTAGAGTGATATTATGAATCAAGTCGCATACAAGATCGCTGATGGATCAAAGCCGGTGGAGGCGGAGACGAAAAATGCCGGGTCACGTGGCGATACCCGATAACTTTTTTTCTTCCCCTGCCAAGTCATGTGATCTGTACCAGAGCACTATGGGGAACAGATGGGGACGGAGTGTAGAGGCGATGACTGGAAGTGCGCCTTTTTCAAGGCTTATGAGGCTCACTATCAGATTCTGATAGGGATATACTATACTAGAGAAAAACAATATGCCAATTACGCCATGGTATACTCGATACGCTATAGGTAGACATCATGTGACCTATATCGAAAGGGGTTGATCGAGCCTTTGCAGTGGAGATAACTGCAATATTACCCCTTTAGGAAGTAGCCACAACCTCATTGCGGCCCCTGGTAGTGTAGACTGAGCTCTAGATTTATCCATGGCTCTGGTTGTTCCCGTCACTTCTGATCACATGGGGATTTGCCTGATCGGTTCTGGTGAGGTTACAATGGATTGTTACTTCGCATGTCTTCTCTCCGTTCGGGTACCTGCCAAGCCGTGAACATGACAGGTGTTCAAGCTTGCAGAGATATGTTGAATGTTGATGACAGTGACAGATTTGACAGATTCGACTGCCTTGATAGACGATCCTGCATACACTCTGTACGTGTGTGTAGTGAAAGGTGATCTACAGTCTGGAGAGTATAAATTGTACAACCTTCAGTCATCAACTTTGGCTACAGTACTAGTAGTAGTCTACCAGTCAGTCCATCGCAAGGTCTCCGGTTGGCTACTGGATTCTTGGGACCAGGAATGTCGCAATATCCCACCAGTCAGACCATTCAGGGACAGCACAAGCCAGGACTGTGGAACGCCATCAGCGGTGGAGACCCATCCAGGACCAGTCATTCTGCGGCGAAAGTCTCAGAGTTGGTGGGCATCCAGCCAGGTATGGAGGGTGGGAGCAGGTTGATGACTAGTTGGAACTAGGGTTGGGAAAGAGTACGTATATTGCCTGGTCATGTATGACTTGGAGAAGGGGTGTGAATAGCTTCCCCCTTCGCTGTAGCCATCAAATACTTCGTACTGAAGATATACTTAGGGACGGGTTGAACAGATAGTAGTCGACAATTATTACATGAGGAAAAAGAAGAAAAAGGAATAGTAGAACCCGAGGCTGGGTCTTTTTTCCCGACCGATTTTCCTTCCCGACCGTGGCAGTTCCATCGATTCCCATCCCCTTTTTTTATACCTCGCCGTGGACAACGAGCACGAATTCCCACCTTGTCCGGTTGTCAATTGAACCAATTCAACACGGGCATAGCCTCAAAGCCATTTTCAATGTTCCCGGGGGTCCGTAGGGTATCCAAGGGAGTCCAAGTTGGAGGCCGCGCATTGAATTCGAATCCATTGAGCCGGCCACCCACCGCCTGTCCGATCCTCGCGCGTACTGGCTGTTCGCCCGTCCTTCGCACATCCGCAACGCTGGCTCCCCCCACCAAGCAAGCCCCCCCTCCTCCTCCCTCTCTCTCTTCCTCTCCCTCCCCTCCTCTTCTTTCCTCTTCTTCTCTTTCCGCTTCAGCTTTGTCTCCCTCTTCCTCCTCTCGAGTTGATCGTTCGGTTTCGTCCGCTTCATCTCGTGCTGCCCTTTTATCCAAACACTTTTCCACCTCCGCTGCCCCGCCGCAATCGCCCACCATGTCCTACACCGTCCGCAAGATCGGCCAGGCCAACACCCTGGAGCACCGTGTTTACATTGAGAAGGATGGCCAGCCCGTCTCTCCCTTCCACGACATCCCCCTCTATGCCAACGAGCAGCAGACCATCCTCAACATGGTCGTTGAGATCCCCCGCTGGACCAACGCCAAGCAGGAGGTACGGACGCCACAATATACACACAACAACCCCCCCCCCCACTTGCAGGGGGGGGCTACGCTGTAGCTTGACGTCGGTATACTGATTTTGCGACCCAGATCTCCAAGGAGGAGTTCCTCAACCCCATCAAGCAGGATGTGAAGAAGGGCAAGCTCCGCTACGTCCGCAACTGCTTCCCCCACAAGGGTTACCTCTGGAACTACGGTGCCTTCCCCCAGGTATGTAAAGGAACGCCACGTCAAATTTTGTACCACCCCGCACTGACCTTTAACATAGACGTGGGAAGACCCCAACACCGTCCACCCCGAGACCAAGGCCAAGGGTGACAACGACCCGCTCGACGTTTGCGAGATCGGTGAGCTCGTCGGCTACCCCGGTCAGGTCAAGCAGGTTAAGGTCCTTGGTGTGATGGCTCTTCTCGACGAGGAGGAGACCGACTGGAAGGTCATTGTCATCGACATCAACGACCCCCTGGCTCCTAAGCTCAACGACGTTGAGGATGTTGAGCGCCACCTCCCTGGCCTCCTCCGCGCCACCAACGAGTGGTTCCGTATCTACAAGATCCCCGACGGAAAGCCCGAGAACCAGTTCGCTTTCTCCGGCGAGTGCAAGAACAAGAAGTACGTGCTGACGGTGCCTTATATTATGTGTCCAGGCTAACAGTTCAACCCATAGGTACGCTCTCGATGTCATCCGCGAGTGCGCTGACGCCTGGGAGAAGCTCATCTCCGGCAAGTCTCCCCGTGGTGAGATCAGCGTGTAAGTATCCTTGAGTCCTGATTTAGGAAGATGATATACTAATTGCATTTAGTGCTACCACCACCGTTGAGGGTGCCGAGCGTGCTGACGCTGCTCAGCTCGCTGCCATCCCCAAGGGCGAGAACCTCCCCCCTGCCCCCATTGACGGCAGCGTTGACAAGTGGTTCTTCATCTCCGGTGCCGCTGTCTAAATGTACCTATATAACAAAATTTAAATACCACAATACCACATTCCCTAGAGGAAATTTTACAGAAGTGCAATATTGGTCTCTTTATCGTAGTTTATCGTAGTTATTGTCAGACATATGATACCATATCCGGCGAAGATGTAAGCGCTCTTTGGCTCTTCCAAACTACTACCAAAGGACAGCGGGTGGACCCAGCACTAAAGAAATGGAGTATCACTCAATGGCTAATATATACACATACACATACAGAACATGATAGTACAAAGTACAAACAGACCGACACAATCACCCCTTCGGTCCTGAAAGCCCCCAAATCATACTGCGCAGCCTCTCATCCAATCCCGAGTAGACAGGATAGACCAGACAGACAAGTGAAGTCTCCGCACCACGACGACAAAACCTCTCCCATTCATGCCGATGCGAGCACACCCCTCAATCCATGCAAACCTCATAGAACAAACATTGAAAACAGAAAGAAAATCTAAGACTTCAGCGCCTCCTCACGCTCAATAGCCCGCCCAACACGAGCAATCTCCTCAACCACATCCCCAATCTTCATCTGGCGCTTCCCAACCTCAATCTTCAACTCCTTGCCATTCTTGAACCCTATCGTCAACTCGGGCTCTTGCGTCGACGACCGCGGCAGCTGAGTGACCTTAATGTCGATGTGGCCGGGGCTGGAGGCCGGCGTGGTTGTGGGATTGCGGAGGAGAGAGAGGATGAGTCTGCAGGGGCGGGCGGAGCGAAGGAAAGGGTTGAAAGTTGTGCGGAAGGTGGAGATTGTTGAGAGAGGGATGGTCATTTTGGCGGTGGTTTTGTTGTAGGGTTGGAGGGTCTTCTTTTTTTAAATTGTTAGTTTATATGGATTTTGATGGGGTTTGGGAGACGTACCTTGTAGGTGATGGGAGATGTAGAAAGGTTGGTATGAGTTGTATGAGTCAAGGGAATTGACCTTGACTATGTGATTGAGGTAATTGCGTGGTGTGGTGTATGATTTCTAGGGAATCGAGCGAAGAAAATAATCACCCTTCACGGATAACTTCAACTATCTTCAAATCCGTCCGCTCTCCGGGATGCGCAGCGCGGTCGGTCGGTCGCTCGCTGGGTGGTGTTTGTCTGACATGCAAACATGTGCTGTGGTACGGGAGGCAGATCGGCGGCGGCGGCGGCGGCCTCAGGAACGGGCGCGATGACGCTGTAAAGTAAGTTGCGGACACATTGGCCATCTCCGCCTTTTCCCCCCTCTTGATTCTCACCTGCCTTTTCTTCTTCGGTGTCTTGGTTTGTTTGGGGATCGGGCTCTTGTGGATGCTGTAGCGAGGCACTTTTCTGTATAATTATTGTACTTTTCCTGCGATATCTACTACTACTTCTACATCATCGCACACGCAAAATGTCCGGCATTACCGATTTACAAGCTCGCTTGAAAGAGCTCTCCACAGCTCTGTCTCATATACATCCCCTGGTTTCTCGGTTAAAGGGCTTCACGACTGCGGTTGGACAGGGAGATCAGCCTCGTCTGGAACTGGGGACGGAAATCCACACTCGTCTGAAAGAAGCGGAGGAGCAATTGGAGTTGCTGAAGGTCGAAGTCGAGGCTCTGGAGGCTGCAGCGGATACGCGGCGCAAGGGTGTGGATAATGAGAAGGAGTCGGAGAGAGAACGGGTCATCGCCTTGGCTGGACGACTGGCGGATGATTTGAAGAGGTAAGTGGAGTTAATTATTGTTCTGTGTCTGTTCTTGATGGATGATATACTAATACGTGTGCTATGTCTATGACAGGACGAGAGGAGACTTCCGGAACGCACAATTACAAGCGAAACGGAACGCTGAAGTTGCCCGACGGAAAGAGCGAGAGTTACTATTCACGAGATCTCAAAGTGCGGAGAGGAAGAAGCAGTCGAGTGAGAAATTGACGCAGGATGATATCGTCATGAATGCTTCGAATGATGTTACGGCTGCGCTGAGACGGACGCATCAGCTGATGCAGGCGGAGCTGTCGCGGAGTCAGTTTGCGCAGGAGACGTTAGGTTTGTGCTGGTTTATCATAAAGACTTGTCGGAGTAATGGCTAACAATATTGGGTTAGAACAATCGACTGCTGCGCTTTCCTCGCTGTCAGAATCTTACACAGATCTCGATTCTCTGATTTCGTCGTCGCGCAACCTCATCGGGTCTTTGCTCCGCTCGCAAAAGTCGGATACGTGGTACCTTGAGACGGCTTTCTACATTCTGGTGGGCACCATTATTTGGCTTGTCTTCAGGCGGATATTATACGGTCCCTTGTGGTGGCTTGTCTGGCTGCCCATCAGGCTGTTCGCGAGGTTTACGTTTGCTATTTTGGGCGTCGTTGGGATTACTGGTAAGGCTGTTCAGTCTTCTGAACCTAGTACGATGCTCGAATATGTGCCGCAAGAGACTCCAGTAGTTGAGCACAAGGTGGAGCCGAACGTTCAAAGCGCTGAGGGCGAAGCGGTATGGGATCAAATTCCGGTTGCGGATGAGGCAGAGAAGGACCGCTTAATCGATGAGATCGGCAAAATGGTGGAAGAAAGCGAGGAGCAGGAGGAGACCAACATTGACGACATTTCTGAAGAGGAAAGGCAAAGGCAGGCGGAGTTGCCCCGGAATCCTAAGAAGAGGATGTTTGAGGCGACGGATATACCACAGCAGAGGGACGAACTATAGATAGAAAGTAATGTGTGATGATGACTGCCAAGCGCAGAAGTGTACCTGCTCATTAGCTTCTTACAGCGAGCTTAATTGCCTACGTAAATCTAGATCACTCTATAGATACTAGATCACTGCCTCGGCCTCAAGCGAACAATAAATGGCTTGGCGCCATCGCGTATCACGTGGAGACGCGTCCCGACACGCTTTCCGCCCGTGTGCCAGAGCTCCGACAGCAGCTTCCGCTATACCATTAATCAATCAATCGCAGTGCTGCAGTCTGGTACTCACTCTCAAAGCCATGGCTGCGAACTTCTTCAACAACAAGGCCCGCGCTGCGGCGGCAGCAGCGAACCCTTCGAAACCGAAGCCCACAGATAGCAAGGAAGAACAAGCCAAGCAACAACCATGGGTTGAGAAATAGTATGCCACCTTTTGGATCAAATATAGCACTCGTGCTGACATCTAGAAAGCCGTCCTAAAACCCTCGATGATGTCGCCGCTCAAGATCACACAACAAAAGTCCTCCAACGAACACTCCAAGCCTCCAACGTACGAAATGAATCCCTTCGTCAGTGAGAAACGACACCCTGCTAACGAGTATCCAGCTCCCCCATATGCTCTTCTACGGACCGCCAGGTACCGGAAAAACATCCACCATCCTCGCCCTCGCCAAATCCCTCTTCGGACCCTCCCTCTACCGCTCGCGCATTCTCGAACTGAACGCCTCCGACGAACGTGGTATCGGTATCGTGCGTGATAAGATCAAGAACTTTGCCCGTGCGCAACTCACACACTCTACGGGGTTGGGCGAGGAATACTTGGCGCAATACCCGTGCCCGCCGTTTAAGATTATTATTCTCGATGAAGCGGACAGCATGACGCAGGATGCGCAGTCTGCGTTGCGTCGTACGATGGAGCAGTATAGTCGGATCACCCGGTTCTGTTTGGTTTGCAACTACGTCACGCGAATTATTGAGCCGCTTGCTAGTCGTTGCAGCAAGTTCCGGTTCAAGGCTTTGGATAATTCGGCGGCTGGGGAGAGATTGGAGCATATTGCCAAGGTGGAGAATCTGAGGTTGGAGGATGGGGTTGTCGATAAGTTGATTGCTTGCAGTGAGGGTGATATGCGACGGGCGATTACGTATATGCAGAGTGCGGCTAAGCTGGTTGGGGCTGGTCGGGCTGGGAAGAAGGACGAGGATGAGGATGAGGAAATGACGGATCAGGAGTCGGAGGTTATTACTATTCGGACGATTGAGGAAATTGCTGGTGTGGTTCCGGAGGGCGTATTGGATGCGTTGGTGCAGGCAATGCAGCCGAAGAAGATCGGATCTTCGTATGAGGCTGTTGCGAAGGTGGTTACAGACATCATTGCTGATGGGTGGAGTGCAACGCAGCTTCTTTTGCAGGTATGTGGTTGGACGCAGTGGGAGTTTATTGATGCTAACTTTGGGTAGTTGTATCGACGGGTGGTCTTCAACGATGCGATTCCTGATATCCAGAAGAACAAGATCGTTATGGCATTCTCGGATATGGATCGACGTCTGGTTGATGGTGCAGATGAGCACCTATCTATCTTGGATATAGCCCTCAAGATCTCTGGCATCCTGGGAGGAGCTTAGATCAGGTTGGAGAGTCTGAGGTCCCTAGGCTACTCTATTTCATAAATGAGCGCTTTTCCGCTGAGACTCCTCCGGTAGGATGTGGAAGAGCCGGCGACAAGTCATGCATCCTGATGATATGAGAGGATGCAAAGACCGCGAGGACATGCGGCGTCCACAGTTGCAGTGAACTGAACTACAGTTGCGGCCGCTACCAGTCCGCGGGAAACAGCAGACGTGCTGCTCCATTCGATGTGTTATTTGGCCGGAGTGGAGTTGGAGATTACGACTGTATGATATAATAATGAACGAGCTAAAAGCATCCACATCACTTCTATACCAATATCAATGTACGATGTAGTTCATTTGTAGGGCTGGGATATCCGCCCTTCGGCCCCTCACGTGCGGCCCGCTCGCTGTTCTCACCGAGACCCGGATTGCTGTACGCCGCTCGAGTCATTCGTCTTTCTGGCAAGCAATTCGGTCATTCCTTGCGTCTGCTTATTAGAACCGGAAACAGTCCTTTTACTATTCCTTCCGACATAGACTGAATACCATAGACAGCCAACATGGCAACTTCCGCTCCCTCCTCGGAATACCCCGCGTCGACGCATACACCCCGCTATTTGACCGGCGACGCTGCGGGCATCCAGGAATTCCTCGACAAGTTCGATGTGAGTCACACCATGCCTTTCTACTGAATAGATAGTATATTTGGAAGTATACAAAGTATAGATTCACTGACAATGCCACCAGGTCTTCCTCTTTGACTGTGATGGTCCGTCGCATACCTATGCGCCTCCGCGCTCTCCCGACTGGCCCATACATACATGATACTGACATGATGCGCATGCAGGCGTCCTCTGGTCGGGCGACCACCTCTTCCCCGGCACGAACGAGACTCTGGAGATGCTGCGGAGAAAGGGTATACCTCCTTCATATGTTGCGACTCTCTGAGACAGAACACTAACAACCATCCAGGCAAACAAGTCGTCTTCGTAACCAACAACAGCACCAAATCGCGCGCCGACTACAACAAGAAGCTCACAGCGCTAGGAATCCCGAGCAACACCGTACGTCAATCCCACTAAACAATAAAGCACCCACCTAACCCTAATCTCAACGAACAGGAAGAAATCTTCTCCTCCTCCTACAGCGCCTCAATCTACATCTCGCGCATCCTCTCCCTCCCCCCCAACAAGCGCAAAGTCTTCGTAATCGGCGAAACCGGCATCGAACAAGAACTCGCGTCCGAGAACGTCCCCTTCATCGGGGGCACCGACCCAGCCTACCGGCGCGAAATCACCCCGCAAGACTACAAGGACATCGCATCCGGCGACGCCTCCACGCTGCTCGACCCGGAGGTCGGCGTCGTGCTCGTCGGGTTGGACTTCCACATCAACTACTTCAAGCTCGCTCTCGCGTACCACTATGTCCGCCGGGGCGCGGTCTTCCTGGCTACGAATATTGACTCGACGTTGCCGAACTCCGGGACCTTGTTTCCCGGTGCGGGTAGTATGAGTGCGCCGTTGATTATGATGTTGGGGAAGGAGCCGACGTCATTGGGCAAGCCGAATCAGGCTATGATGGATGCTATTGAGGGGAAGTTTCGGTTTGATCGGAGTAGGGCTTGTATGGTGGGGGATCGGGCGAATACTGATATTAGGTTTGGGATTGAGGGAAGGCTTGGGGGCACGTTGGGTGTGTTGACGGGGGTTAGTAGTAAGGAGGAGTTTGTGGGGGGGGATGTGAGGCCGATGGTTTATTTGGATCGGTTGGCGGATTTGTTGGTTGTTGATCAGTAGTAGATTGGTAGTAGATTGGTAGTAGGTAGATGGTTTGTGGTGTGGTTGAGGGTATAGTTAGTTATGATAGACGTACATACATACAGGTACAGTTATGTTATAGAAGATAATTACTCCTCCACTTACTCCTCAACCTAACCTCCATCCTAGGCGGTTCCAACACCCCATCACTCCTAACAAACCCCCTCAACCTCCAAAGCGCCAACATCGCTTCCACCGTCACCTTATTATCGGGCCTCAACACCACCGCCGTCTTCCCAAAAAGCTTCGGACAATACTCCCTCAACTCCGCCAACTCCTCCTCCCCCAACATTACCGTCAGATCAAACACCGGCGCCACCTTCTTCTGCTTCGATATACACACGATCTCCGGCATCCGCGGCCACAGCCCCGTGACTCTCCCCGGTTTCCCCCTCCGGCGATTATTCACCAACACCCCGCAACACTCCATCCGCTCAAACGGCTCCATAGACCACGTTCTCCGCGCTATATGAGCTCGCCCGTACTTGTTAACCGGCAAAACCGTCCACACTCGGCGCTTCGCTTCAGGCTGCGTGTCGGGCGGGTCGCACGCCGCTTTGAGTTTCTGGACCACGTCCCGGCGCATCATTTTCAGCGTGAAGGTCGGCGTGTCTTCTCGTAGGGAGAGCTGCGATTCTTCCCAGCTTGTCACAGGTCCCAGGGGGTGTTTCCAGCGGTGCGGGAGGAGTTTGGCCAGTGGTTCGCGCTTGCGGTTCGTTTTCGTGCTCCAGTAGGTGGAGGTGAGGGTGCGGAGGAGGGGGAGACGGTCGACGATGCGGAGGGTTAGGTGGCGGGTTGTGTTATTCTTAACATTATTCTTGTTGTGATTGTCGTTGTCGTCTTTGGTGTGTTCTTCTTCTTGGGAAGGAGTTGTGGAAGAGGGATATAGTTTGTCCTTCATAAGTCCCACCGGAAGTAGCCAGAGCTTGTCTTCGACGTCGGGACGCTGTACAAACCCCCATTCGCTCATGAAGGCGCGCGGGACTCGCGCGCCGGTCACTTTGCAGGCTCGGAGGGGGGAGGCGAGGGCTTGCGCCCAGGGGTTCAGGTGGATGTCGGATTCTTTGGGGTCGGGGCGGCGTTTCTTCTTGTGTAGCTTGTCGTGGCCGGGGCGGGGGTTGGTGAGGAGGGGGGATTGGGGGAGGAGTGAGGAGGGGCGTAGATGTTGCTTTGATCCTTTCTCCTCTTCCGAAGCAGCAGCAGCTTCTTTATTTTCTGTCGGGGTAGACTTCAATGTCTTGTCCGCGGAGGAGGCCGTCGGACGGAGAGGTTCCCGTGTGTCATTGGCGGTTGATATAGCACGATATCCCACCTCAGGGGAGCCATTCGGCCGGAAGAGCTGCCGGAATACCCTCAGACGCCAGGAAGCGTATGAGATCCGGCTGTTGAGACACGCCATGGAGTGGTGGGTGGTGAGGAGGGAGAATATAGTTTTGAGGAATCGGGGAAAAAAGGCGGCGGCGGCGGAGAGAGAGAGACAATGTCGGACGCGCTAAGCTTCGGCGGGATCTTGGAGCTCCGCCGGCGGACCAGATCTCCAACCGTCATCATCTTCTTCATAGAGTCTTCTCCCGATCCTGCTCTATCATCCCTGTTCACCATTGGGGTATATTGCCGCTCATAATGAACACAACACGTTCTCTTCAGCGATTAGCTCGCGTCGTTGGCCGCCAGACTGTCAAGCCGGCGCTGTTGTCGCGCAGCTTCACCAGCTCTGTTCCGACGCTATCAGGTGCCCGGTCTCCGCGGGGGTGGACGCCGACGCCGTTTGTTACTGAGACTGTGGTGAGTGTGCACATTCTTTCTTATGATAGATGTATGATTATACTAACTGTAATTAGGGAGGAGGATGGCACACATGTACGTTTACTGCAGCGACCACAGTACCTTACCGCAACTAACCAAGTACACTCCCATCACAGACGACATCTTCTCTCGTCTCCTCAAGGTACATACACCCACCCCATAACCCACCCATACCCCATCCCAATCCTAACAAAGTACAGGAACGAATCATCTGCCTAAACGGCGAAGTCGACGAAACCATGTCCGCCAGCATCGTGGCCCAACTCCTCTTCCTCGAAGCCGACAACCCCCAGAAGCCCATCCACCTGTACATCAACTCCCCCGGAGGGTCCGTAACCGCCGGTCTCGCCATCTACGACACAATGACCTACATCGCCTCCCCCGTGAGCACGATCTGCGTGGGCCAAGCCGCCTCGATGGGCTCCTTGCTGCTTTGTGGAGGACACCCGGGCAAGCGGTTCTGCTTGCCGCATAGCTCGATCATGATGCATCAGCCATCTGGGGGTTACTTTGGTCAAGCGAGTGATATTGCCATTCATGCGAAGGAGATTCTCAGGGTGCGGAGCCAGTTGAATAAGATTTATAAGAGGCATTTGACGGGCAAGAAGGAGATGACGTTGGATGAGATTGAGAAGTTGATGGAGAGGGATTACTTTATGGGTGCGAAGGAGGCGCTTGATATGGGTATTGTGGATGAGATTTTGGATAGGAGGGGACCGCCGGGTGCGGAGGGGGGTGAGGCGATTCCGTGAGGATGTATACCCTTTTTTTGTTTTGTGGTTATGTGTTTTTGTTTGTATCGGTACTTGTGATGAAGTTATGGTATGGTTGCAATATAGGATATTTCATTTGAGGTCTCTAGGTAAATCGATCTGTACATGGTTATTCATGTATCCATCGTATAAGCATTGGTATATGTACAAGTGTCAACTCATCTAACTCATTACATTACACTATATCACGCCTCCGTCGCAATCCGCTCCATGCGCCCATCCGCGCCAACTCGGATGCCGAACCGTTCTCTCAAAAACGCCGCGGTCTGGTCAGAAGGCACGTACGGCGTTGTCCGCCGCGCTGTCGCAGGGCTGTATCGCCACTGATCACGGACAAGGTCAACCAATCCCACATCCATGATCGTTGCTTGACCCGACACGAACGTATCCATAGGATGGGCGTGCTGTGCATTCCTCCCTCCCTCTTCCGGATCAGCCAGCAACTGCGTTCTCTCCATCTCGCCCAGTTCAATTATCTCCACATCTTCATCGTCTTCCAATGTTCGCGACGAGGATCTCGTGGAAGGCCCACTCCCTCGCACCCCCCTCTCCTCCAGATCATGGTCCTGTCGCTCTTCCTCCCCCTCAGGCGTGGTCTCAACCGGCGCACTTGCAGTAACCTCCACCGTCTTTACCCGCTCAACGATCAACCCCAACATGACCAGATCCAGAAACAAAATAAGGCAATCCAGAAAAAGAAGTCTAGCGAACGGAATGGGCGCTTTCTGTCCAATAAAGTCAATCAAGATCCCGCCATGCAGGTATCCGCGCGTTGATTCGCTAGCTTCGGGTCTAGTGAAGAATTTATGAAAGAGGATGCAGAAGAGGTTACTACCCAGTATAGCGCCGACGAAGGGTTGGTTTCTTGTAGGGTCGAAGGGGGGTGCTTTGGGTGTGAAGAAGATAAGTTGAATTATTGCGCGGAGGGCGAAGAGAATTATTGAGCAGCTGTGAATTGTATATTGTTAGTCTGATGGATTATACTTTATGTATTGGGGCTCCTCCGCTCGTGCGGAGTTGCGGGGGCGGGGGCGTGGATTCTGCTCACTCCATATAATACAACGCTGAAAGCTCACAGTAAATAAGGATATCTAGGTCGCGGAGGAGCCGGTCAATGAACGCGACTTTCGCGGCTGTCTGTACCTTTCTCAGGCGCTCGGTGCGGCTGGTGGAGTTGGCGCTGGCGCCGCCATGAGGGTCGATGATGCCGGACACGTCAGCGATGTATTCCGCATCTCGATAGGCGTCCGGAGTGGTCATAGAGGGTCATGGGGGCATGGATGGCGTTGGGGGGTGAGGAGTGAGAGGGAAGGTCTAGGGGGGCCAGTGCAGACCGGGGAGACGAGGTGATGGGGGGAAGATGGAGTAGTTAGTGATGTTTCAGGTGGAGAGACGGAGGGAGTTGGAGGTGGAGCGTCACCGGCAACGATGATGGCCGATGATGTGGATCAGGTGGCTGCGGACTTTTCTCGGCCCGGAGCGCTGCATCTGGCAACATCCGGGGTTAAACTATAACTTATCACCAATGATAATCTTACTATGGCGATCTCGTATGGAGGAAAGGTTGTTTGCTTATTCTCAAGAATTATTCCAGCGTGATGCAAAATAGATCTCCTTATGCTTCCTATATAGCCTTCACCCACCCGTAGACTTATCTATCTAATCAACAAAGATGGTCTTGGAAAGATTGGCGTAGTGCTTGAAGAATCCAGTGAACAAACGGATCGAGTGTGCCACATCGAGGGTACCTCCCGTCTCACGGATACTGTGCATGCTCAACTGGGGGTTACCCAGATCCAATGTCCGAGCGCCAAGCGCTGCAGACAGCATTGGGCCAATGGTGCTTCCGCAGCTGGAGTCATTGCGGACAACAAACAGCTGTAGGGGAACCTTTTCGCCAACATCTTCTCCAGCCTTGCGAGCAACTTCCTGGAGAAGAACAATACCGGGCGAGTTGGTCGCATAGCGGGCGTTGGCGTTGATCTTGATAACAGGGCCCTTGTTGATTTGGGGCCGGTGGTCGTTCTCATACTTGGCCGTGTAATTCGGGTGGACTCCATGGGCCATATCGGCAGACAGAAGGAAAGACGTAGACAAGGTCTGCTCGTAAGCAGTGGCGATGTCGTCACTAGCGCCGGCCGTCGACGGGAGCACGGACAAGCGACGGATGACGGAGGGGAGGATGTTCGAGTCGGCACCCTGAGCAGTGCGGCTTCCGATTTCCTCGTGGTCAAAGAGTGCAATGAGACGGATAGCGGGTTCCTCGTCCAACGCTGAGGAGTCAGCCACAGAGTCGATCAAGCCGACGGTGGCACAGAAAGAGCTGTTCAGGTTGTCCAGGCGAGGCGAAAAGATGAACTCCTCCAGCAGGCCACCCAGGTTCGACTTCTGGGTGTCGAACAAGATCATCTCGAAGTCAAGGACATCGAGGGGCTTGACACCGGCTTCGGCAGCAATGAGCTCAACCAGGTAAGGGTGGTGGCGCTCAGTGATGGCCTTTAGAGGAGACAAGTCGCCCTTGTCCTCGTTGGCTTCCTTGGCCGCTTTGTCAGTCTCCTCGGAGGCACCGGTACGGTTCAGCTCAGCAGCAACAAGACCAGCGATAGGGAACAGCTGGGTTTCCTTGTTGAAGGCAAAAGTCTCCTGGCGGTCCAGATGGATGGCCAGAGTGGGAATGCGGAGAACTATGCCTAGTCAGAGAAGGCCAGTTGTACAAGAGCCGAACGAACTTACTGGGTCGGTCAATCTTGATCAGCTTCTGCACAATCGAACCGTCGCCATTGCGGACCATGGCCCGACCTGCAACACCCAGATCACGGTCGAACCCTAGGGACAGTTAGCATGATACAGTCAAAGTGATTCAGTAGTACGGACAGGTGTGCCAGATGCCGCCTCCATAAGTCTCCACGCCCACTTGAACATATCCTTCTCCGCGCTTGTTGCTGACCGGCTTGACCCTCAGGACGGGAGAATCGGTGTGAGCACCGATCATCGAAATGGGGTTACCCGGCTAATCAATTGATATGATTAGCACAGAGGTCAGATCATTGACAATTGGCGGAAACCATACCTTCCATTTCTTGCCGACAGCAAAAGCGATGATGGTGGACTGGTTACGGGTCAAGTAGTACTTTCCACCAGGCCGGCAGGTTGACGCCCAAGAGTCCTTCTCCTGTACCGGAAATTAGCGGTTAATTCCGTGATACAATGCAGCCATCGCATACCTTGATCTCCTGGAAGCCAGCCTTGGCAAGAAGCTCCTTTGCCGACTGAACGGCATGGAACGCTACAGCAAAGTCAGCAATCGACTACCTTATAATAGTATAGAACGTAATGTAATTACGGGTAGGAGAAGCATTGACAAAGGACAAAAAGTCCAGAGCCGGCTGCTTCAAACTTTGAGCAATTTTAGAAGTCATCTTGTCACGAAGGTCCCCAAGAGATGTGGATAAAGAAACATGGGGATCACGGGGAGGGGAAAAAGTGGGCATGAGATCATAGTAAGGCGGTCAGTTGGCGTCTCCGCATGGCTTCATCAATTTAACTAGTACATAACAGGCGGACGGGTGGACTATGGAATCTACTGATGTCGCTTATTTGATTGCCAATTCCACTAAAGTGAAATTGGACAGATAAACAGACGATTAGCTGGGTTGGTGTGGATTTCTCAATAATGTGTAGGCGGTTATTGAATGGTGGTATCATGGATTCAAGTCAAACCACTGAGAGCCAATAAATGACCTCATGCGGATTGTATGTCTACTAGTCATCGGTCTGTGAGTATCCCCTAGCGTTCTTAAAAGTTTCAATCTAATTCAGATTCTCATCATACACTAAGATTGTCTTTCTGTCTTCCTTGGCAGAAAACTGAAACAAACACGGTCGCGCCCTGTTTATATCGGTGCTCGTCATGGGGTCCTTGCAAGACACGGTCGTAGCTTGAAACTCAAGACATAGCACTTGAATAGAAATAAAATTCCTGAGAGTGGATGTTAGTGTTAGTCATGTGAAACGCGGCACCGTCGGAAATAGAGCAGATAGAATAGAAAAAGCAACTGAAAATAGTCAACCGTTGAGCCTCTAAGCCAGATGGAAATTCGGTACAGACGGTTGATCGCCAGTATACCCTGGAAATCCACGCCACGAGTCAAGCCCGTTATGCTAAACTAATGCTGTACTGTGATCGACGCAAGACGGGGACCGGGAGGGATCTCAGATTCAATTTCTTTGGCTGGAAACTCTCCTTTCTAGCAGTGTCTGGCCCAAGCTTTTGCTGTCGCGTTCACCAGGCGCGTGGAATGAGAGGCGGTCGCGGTAGTGCTCGTGGCGCTGCGACAATCGATAACAACGGAGTAGAGCGCGCTGGCCCAATCACCACGCCGGCGCTTCGCGTCAGTCCATGGAACGCCTCCTGTAGCACGGGCAATTTGATCGGATTGGTTAGGAATTGTTTCACGTCTGATAATCTAGCCTGAGTGAATGGTCAATTTCACAGAAAAAGAAAAAGGACCTGTCTGTTTGTGGTGGGAGGGTCACAATCGATCAGACACGGACGTGCATTTGGAGGTACAGGCGATCCAGCGGGTGCAGATAAACAAATCCTCCCATGCGACAACAACACCTGACGAAGATCAGTCATCAGTCGGATGAGATCACCCACCCACCACTATGCGAGATGAGAAGCAAAAGAAAACAAAAAGAGGACATGACAATGGTGACCAAGTCTACAATCTTTCTTTGTAATGAAGGATAAAGTCATCATTGTCTCTTTGCCAGGAGGGCGAGTATAGAATAACACCAACCTCCTGCGTTGCCCAAAGTAGTTTAGCGCATCCGACGCGTGACCGCTGCTGGGGCTCCCCTTCGAACGGCCGAAGCAAGAGAGGAAGCCCATCGCCAACCCTTGGATCAAACTGTCTCAATCCTTCCTCCCTCACCAGACGGTGGTCAGGTCAGTATCAAATGACCTCCACAAGCTGTGCGTTTCTTTCTAGTCTGCCTCGGGTCTGGTGAGAGACACTCTGTCGTCACTCTCTGTTCGCTCCTGTGCCCGCTTGCTCCTAGTTTATTTGGTGTATTGATCGGAGCGGAACACAAGGGTCTGGCTGTTGTCATCAGCAACCTCTGCATTCACCACCTTCTACAACCCCGAGCCGCCGATTGACCTGAAGGACAACTCTATATTCGCCCAGTCATTGAATACGATATACCCCAGCTGCTCTTCCCCTCCCACTCTGCCGCCACTTGCGACCCGACGACGTTTGAGACCTGTCGCATTGACCCTGCCTCCAGTTGATCCCGCATTCGACCGCCATTTGCACCTCGTGAGGTTCGCCCCTCCGACAACCATGGGCGACCCCAAGAAATCAGATCGGCCGACCACCCGCAATGCTGCTGCAGGCGCACCGGCCGTCAAGTCGCCCGATCGTACCGGACCAAATGCGTTGACGATCGCATCGCCTCCTGGCTCCAGGACGCCCCCTAGTATGCCGTCGAAGAAGACTCTATTCTACCCGGAACCGCAAGCCAGGAGCCAGAATTCTCGGACTACCTCTGGGCCAATCGATGCAGATGCCCTAGCGAAGGCTCTGAAGGATTTTGAGGATGCTGGACGTCCCCGCGAGAGAACACCGGGTACCAGTCCCAGCAGGAAGAGGCAGAGAGTGTACGGTGATAGGTCAGTAACACATTCAATGGTGCTTTTTGGGAGCGATTCATCGGTCGTGACCATGGACCTATATCCTTTGACATCATGTCACTAAACTGTGAATCCTATTCCAGATTTATTCCCAATCGTGAGGGACAAGACCTTCAGGCAACGTTCAGTCTGCTTCATGAGGACGGTTGCCCTTCGACTCCATCAAAGTCGAAAAAACGAGCTCCCCATTCGGAGCTTCACTTTCAAAAAAGTGAGTCGCATCCGCTGTGATCCTGGCGGTGCCGATCATCGTCGCTAACCCCGGTGTAGCTGAGGAAGCAAATCGCATGTACTCGCGGGTTTTGCGAAGTGAACTCTTTGGGAATACTGTTCCACAGGCCGATTTGGATTCCCTATCGCCGGATCCCTTGTTGGGTATGGGTAATGGCATTAATGACAAGACCCGCTCACATACGCCACCTTCACATGTGGTCTCGAACCTACCACCTGCCAGCATAACACCATCGACGCCCCACAAAAACCTCTTTAACTACGCTTCCCCACGTGCTGGGTCAGCTCACCCCACACCTTCAAAGACTCCGCGAAGTCAGCATGGTCCAAATCTCAATGTCCGATCGGAGCTCTACAGTCTATCACCAATCCGCCTCGACAGCCAACGTATTCTGGAGACGCCTCGGAAACAGCCTCGTTACGTGAACAAGGTACCTTACAAGGTCCTTGATGCGCCCGATCTGCAAGATGATTTCTATCTCAACCTAGTAGACTGGGGCAGCAGTAACGTTCTTGGTGTGGGCCTAGGCAACTCGGTCTACATGTGGAACTCCCAGACAGGCCGCGTGACGAAGCTCTGTGAGCTACGAGATGATACAGTCACAAGTGTTAGCTGGATACAAAGGGTGAGTGCCCATTTCGTGATCAATATGTTCGATGGAAGCGCTAATTGGAGTAGGGAACACATCTTTCAATAGGCACAGGCAAGGGTCTTGTACAAATATGGGATGCTGAGCGCTGTCGTCGCCTCCGTACGATGATTGGACACACAAATCGTGTAGGAGCGTTGGCTTGGAACGATCATATCCTCACATCCGGCTCTCGAGATCGACTGATTTTCCATCGAGACGTCCGCTCCCCGGATCAATACCTGCGTCGCTTATCTGGTCATAAGCAAGAGGTATGTGGTCTTCGTTGGAACACCGAAGATGGCCAATTAGCCTCAGGCGGGAACGACAACAAACTACTGGTCTGGGACAAGCTCAACGAAACACCGCTTTACCGCTTTTCCGACCATACTGCGGCCGTCAAGGCAATCGCTTGGTCTCCACACCAGCATCATCTTCTCGCGTCCGGTGGTGGTACAGCGGATCGAACCATAAAGTTCTGGAACACGTCGACTGGTTCCTTGATCAAAGAAGTCGACACAGGCAGTCAGGTTTGTAACTTGGCGTGGTCGAAGAATTCGGATGAGATCATCAGCACGCACGGCTACAGCCAGAACCAAATCGTTATCTGGAAGTACCCTCGTATGGAGCAGATTGTCTCTTTAACCGGTCATACATTCCGTGTACTTTACTTGGCCATGAGCCCCGATGGCCAAACAGTCGTCACTGGGGCTGGAGATGAGACCCTGCGGTTCTGGAAGATCTTCAACAAACGACCGGGCAGAGAGCACGGACGTGAAGGTAGCAAGCTAGCAGAATGGGGTACCATCCGCTGACGAGAAAGGTTGTTGTTCATTTCGGAATGATTTGGTGCCATGGCGTCCTTTGAACTTCTCGTTGGGCTTACCAATATGCATTAGATATGGCGTTTCCAAGGCTTTGGCGTTTCTTACGATGCTGGGTTCTGTCCTTGGACGGTCTGGAGGAGGGTTACTTTGTTTTTCTAAATGGGTCTAGCTTGGGCATTTTCTTCGCATCTCATGGGGTACACAACAGCATATCATGGGTAACTAAAGGGTTCTTTTTCTGCGTCGTTTTGCTTTCTAATAAGTTCTTTCCGCTGGCTGCAAGATCTCATTCCATGTATCTCTGACTCTGCCTGTTTCTGCTTCTACTTTTCTTCTCTTGTGTTTCTTCTCAGCCTACTCTTATTTTTATCCGCGCACAGGTGCCAGCCCATGTCTTTGCAGCAGGCACTCACTATTTGCAGGTTTTTCGCTACTATCCATGGAAATGAATCTCAGCGGTGGCGCTTATGGTGTTTTCCTAGGGTGAACAGGTAAAACCAGGACCAAGGCGTTGTTCCATCCTCACCCCCAAAGATTCAGGCGGATGTGATGGATTGATTGATTGACTCAATGGGCTTATACACCTCTTTCAGAGTTGCATGATGTACCACACACACAATCCTCTCCCCGCGTTCAGATTTCACGACGGAATGATTTACAACACACCAAGAGCTTCGAGAAGGGTTTGCTTGACTTTTACTATGAGGAACGTGTTGTTTCGCAGGGGGGGAGAACGAAAGACATTTATTGTCATAGATAACGAGAATGAAAGACCAGAAGGGTAAAAAAAGAAAAATTCGGAGAGGTTGCGAAATTTAGGCCGGTTAACACTTTAGTACATAGTTGTTAGTAGATTTCTACTATCTTCAACTTCAATGATATACAGTATTGAGAACAGTTTAGTCCAGATTCCAGTCTATAAAGATATAAGTCCTAAAATTTGGACTTTCGACTCCAAACTGAAAGTTTATTTCATTATCTTCTTGATTGATGTTATACTAATATAAAAACGGTTCATCAGCCCAATGAAACTAATCCAAGAGATACGTACGAGACAAGACTTTGTCTCCCGTCTTCTGCGCATAACTTACAGCACGAAAAAGTGGAAATGGGAAATAACCAAGGAAATGGGAACAAAAAAAATGATGAGAAAAGAAAAGGAATGGAGATCTATAGAACCAGCCTGCCAGGCTCAACAGTCAACAAGGTCTTCACGCGGTCCAAGAAAACCTTCGCCCTCTTCTCCTCCTCAACCGGAACAGTCAGGCTGAAGACGTTCGCGGCCGGCTCGACAACGCTCTTAGCAGTAGCAACAGCCTTCTTGGAAACCTTTCCAGCCAAGAAATCAATCAGATCATCCTCCACCTTCTGCTTCTTCTGCACCGGCCGGGCCTCCTCGGCATTCAACTCAGGAATGTACTCTCCCCGGGAGAACTTGATAGGCTGAGCACCGAGGAGCTCGTCGAACAGCTCATCAGCGGAAGGCTTCTCGAGAGAAGAGCGGGGCAGGTCGTCGTTTGCCAGGTCGGTAGCGCGGGCGAGGAACGTCGACAGCGGCACCGTGGTACCCAGGGATTCTTGGATCTTCTTCTGAACAGACAGCACGGCGGCCAGAGAGATGGAGACGGCGACGGAGGTGGTCGGCGGGGGACGAGCAACGGGCTTCTCTTCCACGGCCGGGGCGGGCTCCGCGGGCTTGACGGGCGCGGCGATCTTGATGTTGCTCAGGTCGAGGTGGGCGAGCTTGTCGATCCGGGCTGCTTGCTCAGAAGGGTAGGAGGCGGGGATGGCGCCCAGGTAGGCGAGGACATCACCCTTCAGGAGACGGCCCTTGGGGCCGGACGCGGGGATCTTGGACACTTCGGACTCCGGGATGCCTTTTTCATGGAGGAGCTGGGTGACGGAGGGATAGAGAGGGTAGGCGGGGTTCTGGAATTGAGGGGCGGAGGTGGAGTTCAGGCCTATACGGTGAATGGTTTGTTAGCTGGATTGATATGAGGGTGATTTATGGGTGAGGATGGACTTGGAAGGGAGGGATATGTTGGAGTGGGAAAGTTGATATCGAGCTGTTTTCTGTCGGGAAACTCACGCTTGGAAGTGCTGAGAACACGGGATTGGCGGCGGGCAAGCGCGGCCGGAAGACGGCAGACCGAGAAGGTGGAGGCCATGTTTGATGCGCGAGGCTTTTGGTGTTTGTATAGGACAAGTGAATGTCTTTTCCGAGGGGTGTGGCTATCGTCGGGATCGCGAGCGCTGTAGCTTGGAGTGGGCGGAGATTTGCTGGGATCGGATAGGAACCCACCACCAGGCTAACGGGGCCGCAGAAAAAGCACAGTGGTCCCTAGAGAGTCGGAGTATAGTCGCAATCTGCGAGCTGAGCGTTGCAGGACGTTCCAAGCCGGAGAATTGCGTCGCTATCGGAAGGGTCAGCTCGGAGAAGGTTGAGGTGATTATTGTTGGGAGCTTCACCGGCGGCCCGGACGGGAACATTTTTCTGCCGCGGAGAACGACGGCCTCGACCTCCTGCCATTGCACCAAGCCATTGGCCTTAATTCCTTTGCTTCCTGGTGAGTCTGATCTGTTTATCTCCTGGAGCCGTTGGGCTCTATTTCAACGACACTTGAATATGTGAACATTGATGGCTGGGGCCCGTTGTGGCCTGCGCTCCAACTTATACTCTATCCTAACAATCGGAAATACCAGGTCGACAAGATGTTTGCGCGGCCGTTTACCTTAAGGGCATTCGCACAGCAGTGTCCCCGGAGCACTCTCTCGTCCGTTCTCGAGTCCTCCAGTCCAGCATGGAGGTATTTCTCCTCCAGTGCCTCGCGAACAAAGGCTGCCAGCAAAACCCAACAGATCAAGCCCAAGGTGGTGCGCACGGCGCCTGAAGACAGCTTGAAGTTTGCCGGACGACGCCCGGAAGGATTTGGAAAGCTCGAAAGAAAGGTCGCCAAGGAGGGAGAGATTGTCTTGTTCCGGGCGCCATCGCAACGCGGATACGTGTTGGGCGCCTACGGTATTGCGGGCTTCTGTTTTGCCTACGCTGTATACAATTCCAATGCCGTCTTTCGGGATCCCCTTATACCTCTCCCGATGTGGCAGCAAGCTCTGTTCGGTGGTATTTGTGTAACAATGAGCGTTATGGGTACGGTGTTCCTTTTCAAGACCACTCGGTTGATCCGCGCCATCAGGGCTGTCAATGTCAACGGTCACACACATCTTCGCTTCACCGTGCGAAGCGTGGTTCCGTTCCGCAAGCCTTACGAGTTTGACGCCCTGCCGCGTCAGATCGCTTTCTCCCGCCGTTTGGTGATCTCTCCGGATTCGTCTCCAGATATGCTTTTGGAGTCTATTCCGGATGCGCCTGGTATTGCAGGAGAGCGCACTGTGGCTCAGGATGAGCAAGCGAAGGTTAGCTTTTTCAAAGCTCCCTTCAAGAGGATGAGCATGTCTATGTGGCGGTTGTTCCGGTCTGTCCGCCAGATCTTCTCCCAGGAGGACTTTATCCTTCTGGAAGTGGAGGGCCAGAAGGGCGTTCTGCGCATGGACTCTGGTGGCTACGTCTCACAGGACTTTATGCTTGTTGGCAATCCTGTGAGTTTCCGGCGCTGATAGGAGATGGGAGTCCGGTTCCATTTCGCTATGATATACTTCTTTTGATGTCTAATTACTCTACTTTTTGTCCTATCAACTTTCCCATTAGCCTGTTATATGGCATGTCAGACACCCATGTATATATGGAATGAAGCATTAAACACAAGCAATTACCGTAGATTGAAATAATTTAGAGTATTGGCACTGCTGGGGACAATACTGTGTAGGAAGTAGCCGGAGTATATGCGGAACCACGTGACCCTCCGCAGCGCGTCCCCCCATCAATCAATCAATCAATCAAGACGCGACTCCGACGATAAACCATTGCGCGAGCCCCTCCACAAACCCGACCCTCTCTTGTGGGCTGTTCCAGCCTGCCGCCTTATTCTCCAGGCGACCTTCACCGGTTTCAACCAACATCAACTTGCGATTTGTATCTGCATTCCCTCAGTCGCTGAAACGCGGCTGTCCGTCGCAAGATGGGAAAGCTCATCCGGCTCGAGCTGTTCAGTAAGCAACACCCTCTATCCGGCACTCTCAACCGCTCTGACACCTGCTTTAGACTTCAAATCGTACAAGGGTCATCATGTACTTCTCTTCGGTGATGCCTACTTCACCTCCATCATCGGACCCAACGGGTCCGGAAAGTCCAACTCGTGCGTATCATTCTACCCCATTTCGCGGACAGAGGAAATCAAGCGAGACAAAGTACGGTGCGCTGACCTTCTCCAGTATGGACGCGATATCGTTCGTCTTAGGTATCAAATCGTCACATCTACGATCCACGAACCTTCGCGATCTCGTATACCGCGGCCGTGTCCTGCGCACATCCAAAGTCGATGCTAGCGGCAATGCTATCGAAGCAGAGGCCAACGGGGATGACCAAGCGAAGGACGGAATCGACGGTGAACAGTCGCAGGACCCAAGCGGAAAGAACGATCCCCGGACCGCGTGGGTTATGGCAGTCTACGAGGATGATGCGGGTGAGGAGCAACAATGGCGCCGGTCTATCACCAGTGGAGGTGTCAGCGAGTACCGTATCAACAATCGCATTGTCACGGCACAGCAGTACAACGAGGCTCTCGAGGCGGAGAACATCCTGATCAAGGCGCGCAACTTCCTGGTTTTCCAGGGTGATGTGGAGGCCATCGCCTCGCAGTCACCCAAGGATCTGACGCGGCTGATCGAGCAGATCTCGGGAAGTCTGGAATACAAGGCCGAATACGAGCGCTTGAAGGCGGAGGCGGAGGAGGCCGCAGAGCAACAGACTGTGCAGTTGAACCGCCGCAGAGGTATCAATTCGGAAATCAAGCAATACCAGGAGCAGAAGCGCGAAGCCGAGAACTATGCCCGGAAGGCTGAGGAGCGCGACCAGGCCATCATCACACACATCCTTTGGAAGCTCTTCCACTTCCAGCGCCTAATTGATGCGTCGAGTGCGGATATCCAGAAATATCAGGATGAGCTGAAGGAGTTCCGCCGGGGCGTTGAGAAGTACGAGAAGAATGTGGAGGACGCTAAGAAGGATCATGCTCGGGTTGGCCGAGATGTTGCAAAGGCTGAGAAGAACATCGTGGCCAAGGAGAAAGAGATTGAGGAGTCTACGAATGCCCTGGTACCTGTTGATGAGAAGGTCGACATTACGAAGAAGAAGGTCGACCGCTTCACCTCCCGGATTGCTGAGATTACTCGGGAGCGCGAGGGTCAAGCGGCAAACGCCAAGCAGCTCGAGAAGGATCTCAAGGTTGTCGAGAAGGCTCAAGCTCAGTGGGAAGCTGAGTGGCAGAAGACCATGAGCAAACAAGGTGGCCAACTGAGCGAAGCCGACCAGCAGGAGTACAAGCGGCTCAGGGAAGAGGTCAACAAGAAATCTTCCGCGGAACAGCTGAACCTGGACAACCTGCGTCGTCAGCGCAAGACTGAAGCCGAGGCCTACAACAGCCTGAAGAGCAAGTTCGAAGGTACCGAGTGGCAGCTCAAGACTCTGGAGTCTGAGACACAAACTTTAGCCGAGCGCAAGTCGTCGGTTACTGATACTGTCAAGTCTACGTCGAAAGAAATCGAGCGCAAGAAGAAGGAGCTGAATGCTCTAACTTCTGAACGGCTACGTGTCTCTCAGATGAGAACGGAGCTTGAGGAGAAGCTTCAGGTTGTGTTGAAGAAGCTTCTCGAGGCCGATGATGGCAAGAAGCAGTCCGAGAAGGAAATAAGAGCCAAGGAACTGATTTCGACCCTCAAGCGGATCTTCCCGGGCGTCAAAGGCCGAGTAAGCGACCTCTGCAAGCCTAAACAGAAGAAATACGCCGAAGCAGTCAGCACCGTACTTGGACGGCACTTTGACGCCATCGTTGTGGACAATGAGAAGACAGCGAAGGAGTGCATCCAGCACCTCCGCGACCAAAGAGCCGGACAGGCGACATTCATTCCTCTGGAAACAATCCAAGTTAAGGCCTTCAACTCCAACCTGAAGGGTCTGCACAGAGGAATGCGCCCAGCGATCGAGACCGTTGACTATGACGACTCGGTTGCCAGAGCCATCAGCTACGCTTGTGGAAATGCCATTGTCTGTGACGATTTGGCTACTGCCAAGTATCTTTGCTACGACAGGAACGTTGATGCGAAGGCCGTTACTCTTGATGGGACCGTCATTCACAAGGGTGGTTTGATGACTGGTGGTCGCGGCCCTCAGCAGAACTCCAAGCGCTGGGAGGATTCAGAGGTCGAAAACTTGTACAAGCTTAAGGACAAGCTGATGGCAGACTTGGGCAACCTGCCCAAGGGTCATCGCCGAGGAACGGAGGAGGAGACTCTGCAGGGTGAATTGGTTGGTCTTGAGCAACGGCTTGCCTACGCCCGTGATGAGCTGAAGGCCCTCGAGAGAAATCTCGAAAGCAAGCACAGTGAACTCGACTTTGTGAGGCGCCAGCTCGAGGATGTAAGGCCTAAGTATGTTGAGCGCCAGGAGTTGCTCGAGGAGCTCGATCAAACAATCGCTACCTCTCAAGAGACTGTCCGCAGTGTGGAGGATGAAGTTTACAAGAAGTTCTGCAAACGCCTCGGGTATAGCAATATCCGCGAATATGAGGTTCAACAAGGCTCTCTGCAGGAAGAGGCCGCTCAAAAGAAGCTCGAGTTCACGACGCAGAAGAGCAGAATCGAAAACCAGCTTAGCTTCGAAAAGCAGCGCCTTCAAGCAACTGCTGACCGTGTTGCTGGGCTTCAGGCACAACAGCAGCGTGACGAGCAGTTGATTGAGGAGCTTCAAGCTGAGCAAGAGAGCATCCGAAATCAACTCGATGAGTTTGAAGCTGAGCTTGACATTCTTCGTGAGAAGCTCGAGAAGCAAAAGGAGGCTTACGCGCAGTCAGCCGAAAACCTTGCACAACACCGCCGGGAGCTCCAAAGACGCAGCAGAGAAGTCGAAGGGACGATCAAAAACGTCAATGCCCTGGAGGCGGAAATACAACGCAATTCGTCTAGTCGATACGCTCTACTCCGGCGTTGCAAGCTTGAAGACATTGACATTCCATTGACCGAGGATTCGAATCCTCTTGACCAACTTCCTATTGATGAACTGGTTCAGGCGGCAGACCCCGACGCCATGGATGTGGACGAAGACGGCACTGGAAGCGGTGGTCAGGCCTTCATGGTACAAGACTACGGCATTGAAGTCGACTTTGACTCCCTGGGAGAAACTCTGAAGGAGGTGAGCTATGCCATTTCGAAGTTGATCAGCATTTGCTAATTGTCGATAGGAGAGCGACGAAAAGTTAGAAGAGGAGCTGCTGGAGAAGGTTCGGTCCCTCAACAGCGAGCTTGACAAGATGGCACCCAACACGCGCGCTATGGAGCGTCTTGAGAGCGTGGAGAACAAGCTCAAGGCGACGGAGAAGGACTTTGAAGACTCCCGCAAGCATGCCCGAAGGACCAAGGATGACTTTGAGGATGTGATGCACAAGCGTTCGGAACTCTTCAACAAAGCCTTCTCTCACATCTCCGAGCAGATTGGCCCCATCTATCGTGAGCTGACCAAGAGCGCCAACTACCCGCTGGGAGGACAAGCGTAAGTGGTTTTCTACATTCTTATATCAGAGCATCAGAAAACTAACAATGATACAGCTATCTCGATATCGAGGACTCCGACGAGCCATATCTCGACGGTATCAAATACCATGCCATGCCCCCTCTCAAGCGATTCCGCGACATGGAGCACCTCTCCGGTGGTGAGAAAACCATGGCTGCCCTGGCCCTGCTGTTTGCCATCCACTCCTACCAGCCGTCGCCGTTCTTCGTTCTGGACGAGGTCGATGCGGCGCTGGACAACACCAACGTTGCCCGGATTGCCAACTACATCCACGATCACGCGGCACCAGGTATGCAGTTCATCGTGATCAGTCTGAAGAACGGACTCTTCCAGAACAGTGAAGCGCTGGTTGGTATTTACCGAGACCAGGTAGAGAACAGCAGCAAATCCTTGACTCTTGATGTAAGCCCTTGCCCCTCCCGCAGAATTCTTTTTGTTCTATCTTCGCCTGGGGTCATACGGATGCTAACATTTCTTCCCCAACAGCTTCGTAAATATAACTAAACGACTGAAAGGCTGTTTCTTTTTATTCCTTCGGTGTTATGTAGAATATCTGACGATGGCTTGATGGGCAGCATGCTTTTCTTTCTCTTTAGTTGAACTGTTTACGGATTAATGCAATGATTACTTGCTTTCTTGATGCCATAAAAGCTGTTTGCATTATTACCACCACATGATTAGTAGTACTCCCAGCCTCTCTGGGCTATGTAATGATCTACGGGCGCGAAGCTTGTCTACTTAGAAGAGGTACTACCCGGGGATCCGGTTGTGCGGGATGAGGATTTCGGTTGGATGGCGGAGAAGTATCCGGAGAAGTAATAAATATATCTCAGCTTATTATATACTATGCTAGTACTCACTTTTGTACTGATTGCTTGGTTTTGTTATGGCTAATAGCATGATGCTAGTATGATCGACTACTACGTAGTAACATCCGATCACCTTGTTCCAGCTGATGAGATAAATCCAGAGGTATTGCAGATTGACATCATTGAGGTTGAAGATGATGCGGGTGGGGTTTATGCGAATACATGGCTGTTATTTGCTGTAGATCCGGCTGACTATCTTGGGAAAAATGTGATTATTGGCTGTGCTGAGATGCGGTCAGAAGAGAAAGGGGACGCAAAATTGTTGGAGAGTTCAATGCGCCGCTTGTGGATAAAAGCTGAGGGTTCATGGTAGGGTTGAATTGAAGGGACCTGAGGGAGGAGGTTGTGTAGATGTTACTAGGGAGGGGAGTGCTCTTAGTATAAGATACTACGCTTTCAGTACAAGTTAAATATATGCTATATGTGCTTAAGCATTTAGAAGCTTTCCTTGGCCCTTGCGGATAGTAATGCCAATGCCATGGAGTGTGTTCATTACTTCTACATACTGAGCGGTTAATTCTACTCTAGTTCTTGGTATATCCCCTCACAACAAATGAACCCTTATTACCGCATCTACCGAACAATTACCCGACCCCATCAAGAGCAAACAAGAAAAGAAGAGTAAGAAAAGGAATAGATCTACATCCACTACGTAACAAACAGCATCAATTACATGTAGTTCCAATTTGTCTCCCCTCTCATCCCCCGCACATTCGGAGGGAATTTCCCCCGCGCCGCCAATTACCCTCCAATGGATGGTTTCAATTCATCCAGGGTCTTGACGGCTGGTGGTGGTGCTATCCTCTACCCCCGCCGGTTAAAGTGGTCTTAATTAATACTTACTACTACCCCGGGATCTGAGCAATTGGAAGAGTACTACTTAAATGCTGAATAGTAGTGTCGGGGTGTGGAGTAATTTATGTGATTTTTTCTCTGTGAGGCAGTGAGGATATATATGGTGATATATATTTGTTGTCATCATATATACTAAGTACTAGGATCATTACTACTTACCTACTACTTAATCAATATCGATCAATACTGATTAACTAGTACTAGTACTCACTGAACGGCGTCACCAATAAGCTGAACTCCTCTTGAAAAAGTATCACGGAAATGCATCATCGTCCAATCACCTTACTCTCTCTCCTACTTGGAGCTGCACACAGCATTGCAGCTCGTCCGACCTTCCCAGATGATGAAAGGAGCAGCTCATCATCAATCAGTCTGAGTGCATCCGTTCCGGATGATGCAGCTCTGCCGGTCTTGCATCCGTTTGTTTCGTTTTCTATCGAGTTTGCGTTCTTTCCGGATTTTGCAGGTACTATTCAATACCCTTTTCTCACCTTCTAGTACTACTTTCATGGGGAGCTAGTTACTATACTACTATTGGGTTGTGTTGTGGTATCAGTAGTTAGCCGGGGGAATGTGTTGATATCATTTATATATAAGTACTATTAGTTCTGACCCATTTTGATAATCCCAGGAAACCTATCACATCCGAACCTCTTCTCGAATCACCTGCTAGACAATCTGGCCAAGTTGCAGGGCGCAAAGCCGTACATTCGTGTTGGAGGGAACACTCAGTACGTGTCAATCCCATCATCCTCAATTCTATCTTCCCCAATCTAGTAGGCAAAGAGGGGAAGGAGGGGTAGGAATCTAATTAAATCACGCAGAGACTTTGCCCTGTATGATCCGAATCTACGAGCAGCCACAAATGCCACATACATTACCAGCATTTCGACGGACTACCCGCTGATTTTATCGTTTGGTCCCGCCTTCTTTGAGTCGTACTTCACCTGGCCGGACACTAAGTTCATCCACGGTTTTAACCTGGGGAAAAATAGCTCGACAGATATAGAGCTCATGCTAGAATCCGTGCCGGTGGCGTGTAAGGCTCTGGAAGGAGGAAAACTGGCGTATTGGGAACTGGGGAATGAGCCGGATTTGTACAAGACGTCCGCACAGGGCATCAGGAGACCGGCGAACTGGACGGAACAAGACTATGTGAATGAGTGGTTGAACAAGACAGCGCGGATCGAGAAGAGATTGGTCAAGGCGTGTCCTGAGCTCGCAGACTCAAAGTACATTGCGCCTTCATTCGCCGGGGTCACCAACAGCTTGAATCCCGTGGTGACGTGGGAGAAAGGCCTAGACAACAGCCGGAACATTGCCCTCAATTCCGAACACAAGTGAGTTTGGTGGTGGCCAAGCCCCCAGCCCCCAGCCCCCAGCCCCCAGCCCCCAGCCCCAATTGTACTCTGAACGCGAGAGGATGGAGCACAGGTCGACTCTGGCTAATAGGTCGCGTTTGATGCAGCTACATCGGTGGCGCCACTCAGCCGGGAGTAACACTGCAGAATACGCTAATGAACCATACTAAGACGGTGGAAAGCGTCGCACAACAGGTCAACGTCTCACGTATCTTGTCGAACGACAACCTGACCCTGGGCATCCCCTATATCCTGGGCGAGACCAACTCTTTGTACAACCAGGGCGCGCCTGGACTGTCCAATTCATTCGGGGCTGCACTTTGGGGGGTAGACTTCAACCTTTACTGCGCCTCGCAGAACATCCGCCGAACCCATATGCATCAGGGAAGTAATTACAATTACATCTCCTGGCAGCCAGTGGGAACGAATCGTACATCCATAGGCACGAAGGCGCCGTATTACGGCAATGCCATGGTGGCGGCCATGCTCCACGGCGGAGACGATGTCCGAATTGTCAATCTCCCGCTGGCCGCGGATACGGAAGCCGCATATGCCGCGTACGTGAATGACTCTCTGGTCCGAGTGGCTGTCATCAACCTGGTGGAGTTCAACTACACCTCAACCGATTCGATAGCGGAGAAAGTGGAGAGCAGACCCAGCGCGAAGTATACGTTCCAGTTGCCTTCATCTGGATCGGTGTACTCCGACTCGGTTTCAGTGCAGCGGCTGATGGCGAACGGCAGCAACGCCATCACGGGGATCACCTGGGACGGCTGGTCTTACAATTACGAGCTGGCACAGGGTAAGCCAGTTCGATTGCAGAACGTAACGATTGGAGAGGCGATCTCGGTGGGCGACGATGGGGTTGTGGAGATCGAGATCCCCTACTCCAGCGCTGCAATCCTCAGTCTGTGAAAGGTCATCCGGTGTGGGCCGAAGAAGCTGTAACAATAGGGTATGCATGGTAGAAGATATCTATCCGCGGAACTCTGGCCTCCGTATCATTCATGATGCGGCTCCCACGCGGTTAGCATCCGTGGAAAGGATAGCCAGTCTGAACCTTGTTAGATCATAATAGTCCAAATGGTGCTTAGAACAGAAGAGGAAAGCTGGGTTTGGTAATTACGAAATACTATAAAGTTCCAGAGGGTTTTTACCCTTTCTCTAGATGCGGATGTGTAGCTCAAGCCTGGGCATTTGCTGGAGCACACAGTCTTTCCCATTCGAAGTATCGGCGGCTTCATCATTATGTTCCAAGCGATACGGAGAAGAAGCCGAATCCTCACTTCAACTTGACGATCAGCTCCATCTGCCACTTTCAGACGAGGAAATATCAACCCCGAGCCTGCTCCGTACTGATGCGGAGTACGTGGGAATCATCTGAGACTCGCGGATTTGCCTCATTGATGGCTACCATGATTTTCCAGCCGAAAAGGGCATTTTAAAAATCCAACAAAGCATCGATTTGTTCGGAGGATATCTTCCAGAGTGGGAAACTCAGAGCAAATAGTTCTCGATTTGTTAAAAATAAACAAAGTGGATGGTGGCAACTCTCCCGGTACGGCGTTTGCGAGAGACCTGTCGACCGATGGCGAGACAGATGTAACCTTGATGGGGGTAAAGAATGATCGGTTGCACCATGTCTCCGGCTGCGACAGATTTTGAATTCTATTGATCGAATAATCGGTGTACAGCTAGTCAATGATCTGCGTTAGCGGGTTGATACGTAGCTTCCCCCAAGCCACGGCCCAGTTAGCCGGGCTGAGTGGTGGCGCGACGGACGGCTATCCCACTTCCTCGGAGTACCAGAACTCGCCTGATGGATCGATTCATGCAAGTGCTCGGACTCTGAGCTAGCCTTTAATTAATATTCCAAGGATTGACTGCAGCATTGTCTTCTGTCTGGTCGAGTGTCATTGGGGCAGTAGTAGTCAACCAGAAGGGTTGTTGTCGCCAGGCAGAGCATTGCGGATTTTCCTAGCGTGAGGCATGCTCTGCTTCGCTGCCCATCGTCTTGCCCTTCTCTACCCCGTAGTCATGGCTCACTCAGGCTGAAGCATGCAAGCCATCATGCAGGGTTTCCTGGTAAGAAAGCAAGTTTGCAGGACGATGTACGTAGGCGGATGTCTCATCGTCTGCATGTTTCCTACAAGGGCCCTAATAGTGAAGGTTCGGGAAGCTAAAATTGAGAGACTGGAAAGAGCTGAAGAAGCGCTATAGAGAGGATGTCCCGCCACGCACTATGGTAATGGGTATGGATCCCTGCGCCCTTCCCCCCTTTTCTTCTCTATCTGTCAGTGTGTGTTTTTGATGCTCAATAGGTGACCTACAGGATAGACCCCGTTCGGCTAGTGGCTAGCGTTCCACGCAAACATTCTGTGGATCATCGGTCCACCGTGGCGTGCCAGGCTGGTCAAAATCGCGAGTCGATAGCCAAGGGGCCCGTGTGCTGTAATACTTGACTTTTTCTGCCTAGCCGTTCTTGACGCAGGCTCCGCAAGTAATGGGAATGGTGGGAAATACCGGACCCAATGGTCAGTGATGGATGTATTATCCGTGTAAGACATAGCACACTACCCCTCCCAAACAACCAGGATACGTATTTTCCTAGGTTTCTAGTTGCGAAAATAATCTCCCGCTTGGACTGTCTGTTAGCGAGACCGAAGGGTTGTAGAGTTGTCTTGGCTTCATAGTGCGGCAGCCAGGACACTCTATGATCGATTCTCCACTCCAACGCGATACAGTTGAACCTTAAATGAGAATCTAATATGGTTGCCGTTGACACTTGACAGAGTGTGGCTGCGATCGGCGGTCAGGCTCTAGGGGTGGTCCTTGAGGTCTTACGCCCAAACTCCGCAATTTCCGCACTGACTGCGAGAGAGGCAGTATCGGCAAAGTCTAATCGTGAGGACTTTGACAAAGGAATTATTCCCACTGGCGGAACGCCGATCCTAGTCTTCTTGTGGCTAGGCTTCATTTGAGCAACCCAATCTAGCTGTCACTCAGAGTTCAGTCTGACCTGCGGGCTCTGGGCATGACAGGAAGAAGCGAAGCCAGCACCATACTCACGGCTCGCCGTAGCACTATGAGAGGCTAGCAAGAGTCTGCATTGACCTATGATCTCTCTTCAATGGTAACTTCCGGGTACTTCCACTGCCATGTGACTTTTTGCCTCTGCCTAATACGGTGTATTGGCTCCTGCAAATCCCGAAGGTAGTTATCATGTATCAGCTAGCCTGCGCTATTGCGTCAAAAGGAATATGCCAACCTACTGTACCCCAGAGACGCCTGTGATTGGTAAATTGAGATGAGTCTATTACTTGAATTAGCTTGCCGGCCAAGGGGGTTGTAGTCTGGCATGTACAGCACGTAATTTAACCAGGCCGAGCATAAATGCATGATCCCTGAATGGCATGGCCGTCACTGTGTTTCGGAACCCAATGACCTTGACCTGAGATTTTATTGGAGTCGTTCGATGCTTGGAGTGCACCTATTCGCCTAGTTTCCCTCTCGACTTGGGCCCATCTTTACCCTCGCACGAAGAAGTAACCTTTCTGTTGGTCAACTATTTTTTCTGCGGAACTGATTAAAACCACGTAAAGAAACAGAGGATGAATACGAGTGTCATATCTGTAGCTCTCCACTCATGTGTATAACAAAATAAGCATTTGCCACTGTATCGCTCGAGCCCTCATTAAATACACTGATCCTCTGCTCCATAGGCGATGGGGCTAAGGCAGCCAGACGTAAGCCTCAAACGGGAAAGACCAGAGGGAGCTGCATGGCTAGGCTCCATGCACGCATGGCAACGGAAACAGACTAGATGATAGAGCGTTGTCCGTAACAGTTAATGGTCAGACTCTGTATGTATTTGTTTTCCTTGCATTAGTTTGCACGTCATAAGTGCCAGAAGGCCGCGTTGAACATCATGACATGATCCAATGGCCGAATGTTGACCAACGTACTTTTGTCCACATCTGTAATTGCCCTTCGGTCATCAACTCCGAAGGAACTTGTTTCTTTTTCCCTCGGCATGTTATATTTGGTAGTTCCAGACCTATATAGGCCGTCGCCCGAGCCTTGAAGATCATGCACACGAAACTTCTTAAGCTGCCAACTCCCCATTGGCTTCCTTGAATGTTGATGTGAGGTAGCAGTATCTGAATTTATCTATCATTCCATTATCATTGTCGGTAGTCGGTAAAGAGTGAGCATAGGCGACTCGGCTCGACACTGACTTCCTATAGTAGAGTATGACAAGTCCGGTCCGTGCTACCATTGCGATAGGTCAGTCCACGAAAGCTAATAAAGCCCAGCATCAGATGTTATCATATCACGATATGACTGCTCAGGCGAGCCACACGGTAAGGACAAGCTCCCCAGTCTGAACTAGGATGGATCATCCAACTGATGTCATGTCATGGTAGGACATGCAACGTGCATCATCCGCAGTCAACTTCCGTTATACGCACTTCGCTATGCTTTGCATTGACCACAATGGGGACCTTCGCATAGAAGCGTCGCCGTCCATTGCAGGATGCGAAAAGGCAATTTTTACAAACGACGTGCAGGACCGATTTCTGAAGTCGGTGACTACAGCATGGCAGCCCAGCCTGCAGAGTCTCCATTCCAGTAAGTGATTTGGCAACTGTAAAACCGAGCCAGTCAAGGATGAAGTAGTAACCAAGACGTGTTCCTGCCCGAATCAGACACCTTGAGTCACATGAGCGGCGATGTCACGGGGAAGCCAATGCTTCTGTCCAGTCCTTCAATCGGCCTACAGCACACATGGTATCAACCAAGCCTCCCACGACAGACCGGCCTCATTCCCTGTGAATGGCAGTCCTTGCAAAACAAGCGTCACAGACGTAGCTTGAGGCATGAACTCTCGGGCATCGGACTTGATTTGGATTCCGCTTCACCCACACCGTCGCTAAGGCGCACAGCACTTCGACTAGGGCAAACAGATCTTGTGCGAAGATACTATGAGAAGGCGTTCGAAGCTTTTCAACAGCTAAACTGCAGGGTTATCGCCAAAGCATTTGTGAAATTGGTGGAACCGCGCAAGCAGGTCAACCACCCATACAATGGACGACGGGCTGCCGGAGGATCATCACAGAAGATGGATTCTGAATTGACTAAGCCGAAATGGTGGCCTACAGGGGTGACACACAAAGAGCCCGACCATCTTCAAAAGGCCGGTAAGATGCTCCTAGCTTCCATCGGGTTGAATCGTGAGATTTGAATACTTACTGGTATCATCTCTCTCTTCAGAGAGAATCAGGCTGCTTGTTCATATCCTGTGTGAACTGAAGGAGAGTCGAGGAATCACCGCTGAGAAGCTCAAGGATGCTGGACAAGACGTGCGGCGCCAGATTCAGCCCGAGAGCCGCCTACAAGTTCTTGATGAGATATACTACGTTCGTTATATGGAAGAATTGTACATGGAGGGCAAAATTAGTACGCATTCGCTTCCATACCTTAGGGGACTGAAAGCCACACCCCAACACCAAGCGACTAACACTTTCTATAGGCGGGGACACAATGATCTACGTTTCTCATGTCCATCTGGATGAGGACTTCTTGTTCGCTGAATTACGGGACCAGACAACTAACAACTCTCGTGAACTGTCACTCCCGATTATGAACAACAAGCCAGATGCGCCCAAAGCGACGGAGGGAAGCAAGAGTCCTGGGGACCAGAGTGAAGTGCAAGCCGCCACGGACAAATCGCACACTGACATGCCTGTACTCTCCGACGAGCGGCGCCTGCCACCAATGGAGGTGAATCACCAAACAAAACGCTCCGCCAATCAGGACTACTGCTACCCTCCTTCGCCGGTATCCAGCCCCTCCATCAGTCGGAAGAGCTCCTTGGAAAGCGGCTTGTCTACATACTCAACAGACATGGCTGCACCGATGCTGTCAGGGAGTGAACCCAGCGGGGGGTCCTGTGCTTCTAGGGATATCCATCCCACCGAGGCTTCATGCATGCCGGATTATTTTGGTAGCCAGCAAATGGCCACTTCATCTGCTGAACAAAGTCACCAGCCTGGATTTTGGAGCCTCCCACCGGCCCATACGGCACTACCATATAACGGATACTGATGTGGCAGGTCACTGAAAGACGCACGGCGGGGACCCTATCCAAATGACGCTCTGTATATACTGAATGGTCTTAGCCATGCCGAGATCTGGATCACCCCTCCATTTGCGCTTGCATAATTTCCTATGTATTACAATATTTTGGGGGGGTTTCATGTTTGAGGAAGTGACTGTACTCAGAATACGTGGAGTTCAGCGGCACTGTGGCTGGCGCAAGTGGCGGATACATACTATTTGTGATATAGACAACTTTCTGTATTATTTCATTTTCTGGACAAGGTGCAAAACAGCGAAAGGTGGTCATCAATCATTTACTGACAGTCATTATTATCCGTTGCATATAGGAGAACCAAGACAATTTGATAAGGGGAGATATCATAGGCCATCTATTTTTGATTCGTGTTGGGTCGCTGCAATTACTACTGAGTGATTTATCCCGCACGAAGCGGGGTAGTACAGCACCTGCCAGGTGTTCAAGGGGCCGCGAGTTAGCTGCTATAACTAACTGCACGGCCGGTCCTTAGTCTTTTGAATATGTATGGCGCCAGACAAGTCCCTGATGATTAGCTCAAGAATCGAGTCAGTATCGCCATGTCTACAGCTATATAGACTAGTAGCCAATGATGCGAGACATGGCAGGGTCTGTTAGGTACCTTACTCCCTGCTTTATGCATATGCCGAAAGCAGTAATAATTTCCAGGGGACAGGAACATCTCGAAAGAGCGTATCAGGTCTTCGCCAGCCACTACTATAGAGTAGTACTGCAGACAAGCCAGAATCCGGGTTCAGGTGCCGACAGGAACGAGTTCCCAGCAATCATAGTTGCAGTAGAGCTTAAATGTCCAGAAACAAAGACACGCATCTACTTGAATGTCTAGTCGATCATAGATCGAGCACAGACAATCAAGCTAACTACTCAGAGACTTCTTAGCACACAAAGGAGTAAGTAGTAATGAGTGTGTACACAGTAAAATGCGAGGAGAGCGAGATGTCCGAGAGACGGGACCCTTGAAGACGCCCCAGAAAACATGGCAACCGCCTCAGGCATGGAATCTACTATAAGCCTCGCAACGGGACAAATAAACCATGGGACCCAATGGGGGCAAATCATGTGGAGAGTATAACAATTTTCTATTGGCTGCATCACTCCGCAGGTGGGTCAGGATAGATGATCGCCGGTCTGGAACGGCAAAGTCGCGACAAGTCAGCAGCAGCCAACCACAAGCTCCAACGCGTGCACACGGAGAACCTCATCCTTCCAACTTGCTCTCAACTTCCTGCATCTTTCCTTCTGCTCCCCGACTTCTACGGTCATGCGCTCTGAGCGTTGAAGCACACTGGTTGCGCCTTATCATCCCAGAAACTCAGTCATCCGAATTCTATCCTCTGGTTCGAATACAGTATACCTCGCCGCTTTTGTTTGTAAGTCATCCACGGATTCGTCCACCATGCCTTAGATTGATAAGGAATCCGCATCCGTTTCGGATCACTTCCTGCTCTGTCTTCCTTATCCCATCACTCGCCCCTTGATCTACCCTACCTTTCTGCCCGCGTGCAACACCGGTCCTTCTTAGTCCAAGCTTGGCTATAATCTACTCTAATCAGCATGGGGATGCTAACTATAGGACGCTTCCTCAGCCGGCCTTATCCACACTCCCGTGACGGTCCCACGATATTTTCCTTTCAGCAGAGGCTCATCATGGAAGACGGTGGTTTCTCTGATGCTAGGAAGCCAGAGTCAGTGGCTAGCAGTAGCTCGCCTGCTTTGCATCCCACCACGGACTACGATCTCTCTGAAACGGAAGAGACGCTAAACTCGCCTGATACATTCTACTCGCCGCCCGCGTCACCTGGGCGTCTGTCGCGCAACCCGTCCTTTTCCTACCATGATGACTGGGAGACATTTCCGCCTCTAGACCAACTGTCGGTGTTCGACCTGCTTGATAACCTCTCTCTGTCACAAAGGCTGGAAAGGCTGCAGCGAGCACTCAACGCGCAAAAGGACAAAGTAAAGAGACAACGCGAGAAGCTCAAGTCTACTTCGATTAACGCGAAGGAACGTGTTGTGGGCGAATGGAAGAGACGGGTCCCAACAGCCGATGAGCAGCTAGACAAGTACCGCCGTCGCATGAAAGATGGCGTGGAACGCTTGGGGAAACAATGGAATGCGACGGCTACTGTGACACTACGTGAGAAGATCTCTTTCATCGCTGGTGTTATGAACATCCTCGTGAGCGGCTACCTCCTTGGAGGGTTCCCAGAGTACTTCTACATCTGGTTCAGCGTGCAGCTGGCCTACTTCATGCCTATCAGATACTACCGGTATCACAAAAAGGGCTACCACTATTTCTTGGCTGACCTATGCTACTTTGTCAATGTGCTCTGTATGCTCAGCCTCTGGGTTTTCCCTGGCTCAAAGAGGCTGTTTATCAGCACCTTTTGCCTAGTATTCGGCAACAACGCCGTTGCGATTGCCATGTGGCGCAACTCGATGGTTTTCCACAGTATGGACAAGGTGGTCAGGTAAGCTTCGCTATGATGCCATTCTGAACAACCATTGACTTGAGGCTAGTCTGTTTATCCACATCATGCCACCCGTTTCCTTGCATTGTCTCGTCCATATGACGTCAGCGGAGACGCTGCGAGAACGATTCCCGGCGATCTACGAGATCAAGTTCAGTGAACCGGGTTCGCCCAATCATTTCAACCTCCTGGAAATGATGGGATGGGCAACAGTGCCTTACGTTATTTGGCAGCTGACGTACCACTGTTTTATCACTGTTCGCCGTGCCGAGAAGATTGCTGCAGGACGTCCGACCAGCTTCACTTGGCTCCGCAAGTCGTATGCCAAGACCTGGATCGGCAAAGTCGTCCTGAGCCTCCCCGAATCTCTCCAGGCTCCGGCTTTTATGCTGATTCAGTACTTGTATGCGATATTGACCATGGTCCCCTGCCCTCTGTGGTTTTGGTCTCGGTGGGCGAGTGGTCTTTTCCTCACTGGTCTTTTCATTCTCAGCGTTCACAACGGCGCGACATACTATATCGACGTCTTCGGCAAGCGCTTCCAGAAGGAATTGGAAGAGCTGAAGAAGGATGTTGCTCGCTGGCAATCGTCCCCGGAAGGGGTCTCCAGCCCAACGCTTCTGTCGTCTGACAATGCTGCGACAGTCGGGGCCAAGGGTCTCGAGGAATCGGCCAGTGGCGGATCCGACAAAGTCGGCGTTGATCAGATCCCTCTTCTTGATGCGCAATCGACAGGTGTAGAGAGCGGCCATGCTGCCGCCAATTCTGGGGTCCGGGAAAGGTCTTGAGACGATTGTTACATGAAGCTCCTCACATAATGTTCCCTTTGCTTCGTTCATGAGTCTTGATTCTTGCCTATAGCTTTGACTTGTGAATCCGACCAGATCGGAACCGTTTCTCGTTGATACCCAACTTCATCTTTTATCATTCCTTACTGTCTGGCCTGTCCTGTGCTGCATTTTCTGCTTTTTGTTTATGACAGTATATGATTGATTTTTAGACTTGCGTGATGATGTGATATGGTCCGTAATTACGAGATGCTCTTTACAAGCGAATTAATGACATGAATATGTGGATAGTCAGCTAGTGGGTTAGTCCATCCTTCGGGAAATGAACTGAGTCACGATGGGGGTGAAATCGGGAGTCGAAGCTTCCAGTAGCGAAGCCGGCCGGACTCGCATTTTGCGTTCGGCGGCGATCAAACCTTAAGTCCGACGTCGCCGCGGTCACGTGTGTAGCCACCTCTGCTCCAGACTCTCGGGGGACGAACGACACTACGCCAGCACCTCGTCTTACTTTTGTGATTTCCGATTTCTTTCATATCTTTCTCCTCAGTGTGTCACATTTGAAGTCACGTCCCGCATTTGGCTCCGTATTGTTGTGCATCCGTCTGCATTCGCTCGATCTTCCGAGCATTTCGATCCCCTAGGTTTCCGCAATGTCCGTTACAATGAGGTCAGCTAGCCTTGTGCGCGGCAATGCAGTATTGCGGCCTAATTTGCTCGGTAAGTTGAACTGGAATCCCTTGTCTATCCGAGGCCCAAAAGGGCTTCGACTTTGACTGCTTGATCGCTAACTCAGTGTTCGCATGCAGCCCGGCAACGACTTTCCGGTGCCTTGGCTGCGTCGACGGCCGCAAACCTCCGATTCAACGGTAGAAGTCTGCCATCTCAACTGTCGGCAATCGCTCTTTTAGTCCCTCAGCAGCGAGGATATGCCACCGATCCGTCGACCTCTTCCTCCTCTTCCTCAAACTCGTTCCCCCCTCCGGGCTTCAACGCAGAGCAGGCCAAGAAGCCCCTCCCCCCGGACAACGTGCAGCCTTCCAAAGATGTCCAGAAGGTCGCACCAAGCTCTGGACAGTCTATTTCGTCTCAAATCGCTGCACAGAACAATGGAAAGTCAGCTGACCTGACGACGGCGAAGACCGCGGATGTTGATGGCAAGAAGGAGGAGAAGAAGGAGACGAAGAAACTGACAATCGGACAAAAGATCAAGAAGGAAGCCCAGCACTACTGGGATGGTACCAAGCTTCTTGCTACGGAAGTCAGAATTAGTTCTAGATTGGCATTGAAGATGGCTGCTGGCTATGAACTCAGTCGCAGAGAGCACCGTCAGGTTAGTACAGCCCGCATGGGATACGCTGCATTGATCGCCGCTAATGCTTATATGTGTGTAGCTCCAAAGAACCGTCAAGGATCTGGGTCGCCTTGTGCCTTTCTCCATGTTCGTCATCATCCCCTTCGCGGAACTGCTACTTCCCATTGCCCTGAAGTTGTTCCCGAACATGTTGCCTAGCACCTACGAGGGTCAGAAGGCGCGCGAGAAGAAGGCGCTGAGCCTGAGCTCTACACGTAAGGAGGTTTCGGGCTTCCTGAAGGACACACTGAAGGAGTCTGGTCTCCCGGTCACTGCTGCGACCGTCAAGAATGAAGAGTTTGCGGAGTTTTTCAAGAAGATCCGTACCACGGGAGAATCGCCCACTCCCGACGATGTGATCAAAGTGTGCAAGATTTTCAAGGATGACCTGACTCTCGACAACCTGTCTCGGCCTCAGCTGGTGGGTATCTGCAAGTACATGAACCTCAACACCTTTGGAACGGATGCCATGCTCCGCTACAACATCCGCCACCGTATGCGCCAGATCAAGCGTGACGACCGCGCTATCTTCCACGAAGGTGTGGACTCTCTGTCTGTCCCTGAACTGCAGATGGCATGCGCCTCCCGTGGTATCCGCACACACGGTGTGTCTCCCGCTCGCCTGCGCGAGGACATGTCGATGTGGCTGGACCTGCGTCTTAAGCAGGGCGTCCCCTCCACCCTTCTTGTGCTGAGCAACGCATACGTCTACGCCCAGGGTGGTAAGGAAGCCGAGATGTCGTCCCAGATTGAGGCTCTCCAGTCCGTCCTGTCCAGCATCCCTGAGGAGCTGTTCCACGAAATCGAGCTCGAGGTTCACAATGCCGAGGGCGCTGCCACCAACAAGCAGCGTCTGGAGGTCATCAGAGAGCAGCAAGAGCTGATCGAGGAGGAGAACGAGCAGAACAGCGAGAACGAGGAGAAGGGCGTTTCTGCTCCTAAGGACATCGAGGATATCGATGACAAGGAAGACGTCAAGTACGAAGCCAAGTACAAGACGCAAGCGGGTGAGGCCAGCGAAGCCGTCCAGGAGGGCGAGAAAGCCGAGCAGGCACAGCAGTCTACCCAGGCGAAGGAAGAGAAGAAATAATCGCAACCTTCCTTCTCTCTCTCTCTCTCTCTCTCTCTCTCTTTGCTTCGACAGGGCGTTTATACCGCGTTGATGAACCTGACATAGATCTCTTTTCTCCTCTTGACCCCTACGCCTATACTCTCTACTTCCTCTCTTTTTCTTTTTTCTTCCCATGTGTTATTGTGTATACGATAGACTCTGCTCGCTTGTTTGTTTATTTACTCGTCTCATTTCTTGTATTTTCTCTGGGATCCGTGGTTGGACACCATCGAATTTGGGTCTCTTATATCCTTTTAAACCAGGCTTCTTTCTTTGTGACCTACCGACACTGAAATAGATACTTACTTAGTCGACTTGGACGGTTGATCTGGACAGAAAATATGACGTGGATATTAATTGATAGTACCATGATTTATTTTGTGAATATACCTACCCAATAACTGCGTAATCAACCCATCGGGTATTTAACTTCAGTCAGCGGCTCCTCCGTCAAGTACCTCGGCAACAAACCCGATAACTTCATCAAGTGACTTACTCCTCCGTACCTCCACCAAAACCAACTAAAGTATCAATCCTGCATCAACATATGGCCAAGTAACGAGCTAGCCAATCGATAGATAAATCAATTAATCCCTTACTTTCTTAACCTTGTCTTCTTCTGTCTCCTGCAATGCGAAATCCTCTTCTCCTCCACCATCACCGCCAACTCTATTCTTCCTCACGGATCATTCTCCCTCGCACCTTCAGCATCCAAAGTCACTTCTACATCCATCCCAACATTGCAGATTCCACAACCATGCCCCCTTTAAACCCAACTTCACAGGTACATCATCCTACACATCATTATATTGGTTTTCTAATATACGTCCCTCCTTTCATCTACACAAAACACCTCTCCTCCCCCCAAACCTAATGACGTAGCATCACCAAACTCAATCCATCAATAACCAACCAACCAAAATAACCCACTCACTCTGTAAGCAAATAAGTTACTAAGTGCTTAACTAACAATATAAATCGCAGAAAGCCATCGCCCGATTAAGAAACTACACTCCCCCGCCAACAACTTATACCTCGGTCCCATTGTCACGCCGCGCCGCGGTACTAGTGCTGCTGTATGCGGACCAGAAGGGGGACTTGAGGGTTGTATTGACGATGAGGGCGGCGACATTGAGGTCTTGTATGTATACCTCCACACCTTTTTCCACTAGTAGTCGCTTGATTTGGTGTTGTAGGTGGAGCTGTGTGGCTAATTGTGATATGACAGATGCTGGACAGGCTGCTTTACCGGGTGGTAAGTCGTCTCTCACTCCCTTTCTGTACTCATATGGCACAGCCATATCTCTAAAGGGTTGTAATGTGTGCTACGTACGATGATAGACATCGTCCTATGATCTACCATAGCAACACGCTATATGCTATATGCTACATCACACTGATATCAAACCCAAACTAACTAAGAAACACAGGCCGCGCCGACTCCCTATCAGAAACGCCCATCCAAACCGCGCGCCGGGAAGGTAAAGAAGAGATCGGCCTCCCCGAACACGACGAGCACCTACCTCGTCCCTTCACGGTCGAGCATCTCTGCGAGTTCCCAGCCAACCTAGCGCGAACGGAACTAGTCGTCCGGCCATGTGTGGCGCTGCTGCATTCATTTGACGAGCGGACGGGCGAGAATGCCGATCCTGAGGTCTCGCTGATCCCGAGGCTAGATGCGCGCGAAGTCGCGGCTGTGTTTACGGCGCCGTTTCGCAATTTCTTGCGCTGTAGGGATATGGAGGATTGGGGTGATGGGGATCCGACGGAGTGGTATAAGGGGGCTTGGACGGAGTGGTATCATGAGAATTGGAGGAGTAAGTATTATTTGGTCTTTTGTTTGTTTGTTTGTTTGCTTGCTTGCTTGCTTTCTTGCTTGTTGGGTCGTGTTATGGTGACTGACTAGGAGCAGTGCATCAATTCTTCGTCCCTGTCCGGCCTAAGGAGGTGGTTAAACCGAAACCAAGGACGGAGGAACAGAAAGAAGCGGTTAGTCAGTTAGAGGAGCAGGAGAAGGCTTCGCAGGTTACTCGGTACCGGGTGTTTGGGATGACGGCGCGGATGTTGGTTGATGTGGCGCGGGTTGCGTATGCCGAAGAGCCGGAATTTGAGCACAATAGTCACTTTGGGGATGAGGCGATCATTGAGAAGTTAAGGAAGATGGGCCGGTTAAGTCCGATTCGGAGGACAGGCGATCAGTTGACTAGGCGGGATATGGAGATGGCGGCTAAACTTAGTTGATATTTACAGTACTTATTGGATCTGCTGTGTTGATAGCCTCATATTAAGACCATTCATATGTTATATTTGAGTAAACCATATGAATCAAATCAAAGACATAGAGAATAGATGCATCTTACAACACACCCGAGTCCAGCATCACTAGCTCAACCATACCCATATAATAATATCCAGCACACAGCCCCTGAGATACACTCACTCACTCATTCACTCACCTCACACAACCAAACAAGACATCAATCCCCTTATCTCACTCCCCCACCTGCAAACACCCGTCCAACAGCACTAAACAATACATAGGTATTTGAATTTACAACCACCGTGATGACATCCCACGCACACACACATACACGCATGCATATCATGCATTTGCATCCCAAACCCATCGGTTAAAACCGCTCTGCATTTTAGTTGTTAATTTCTCCATGTTCTGATTGATACTAGTTATTTCCGGACGCAACATTTCGTAAGATTTTATTTGTTGGTTACACAGAAGATGAATACGGACACGGAGGGATTTGTCATTGTGGGTTGGTGGTGATGGTGAGTGGCTGAGGGGTGGATGGGTTTTGATTTGGGCTACGTAGTGGTATTCGGTGGATGTATGTGTGATTACTTGTGGGAGGGGCTAGGGAGTGCTTAATTGCTGTTGAGGGGGGTAAATTGGTAGACGAGATTGTGTCTGGTGAGATATGTTTGGTGAGGGCATGGTTTGATATGAGTAGTAGTATATTTGGTTGGGGGTGAATGTGTAGGTGTAAATAATGTAGTAGTGCTCTCTGGTTCGTGAAGATTGTAGTAATCTGGATACGATGGCATTGGTACACCTGGAAAGAAGATTTGTGTGTGGTGGCTTTTCCATTGAGATACAAGATTGATGTAATGTGAAGTAGTAGATGCCAGCACTCAGAGGGGGTGAAGTTTGATGTTTGCTGGGGCTATCGCTGCACGTGGTCAGGTCTGTTCACTCATGGGATCAGCTCGATTGGCTTTGATACTGCAGCTCGCATTCTTGGTCCAAGCATGATGACCATCAGCACGGGTCTGGCTGTGGCTCAAGCAGTGCCAGGCGATTAATGTGTACTACAAAGTTGGACTACTACAGCCAATGCCAGATCATTCTCACAAGCAGCCGCTTGGTATCACGGTGAGGGTGTCATCTCAGCCTGATTTCAATCGTGACCGACCCCAAAGTAATGCAGCAACTATCTATATTTGCAATACTGGCTCAACCTCAGTGGACTCGCGGGCCGTGTGGCATGCCCGTGTTGACCATGGTGAAATGTCACTCTAAACTCACTTTGTTTTCCGATACTCACTTGCCGCCAGCCACTCGAGTCTTCGGAAAGTCTACTAGTGGGGAATGTCTCTGGAGGGTGTATTAGGGTTAGGAATGCCATGCTTGCCAAACCTTGTCTGCTCGCCTAACGCGGATGAGAGTAAGACACCCCGTACGAGGATGCTAGCGTCATTAATCTCTCATTGTTAGTGGTGGAGATTGACACTTGAGTTAGCTTTGCCAACGGTGCTAGTCTCAAGAAATCAAATCTAGACTTCCGTATTCCCGAGAACGGGCAATTCGCGAAACCTGCGACATCGCAGGTTGAATGAGGAGGCCGTCAGCTAACTACTGACACTGATTGGCTTGCATTACCTGCAGCAGCATGGCTTGGCTGCCATGGGACCAGCCTCAATCCGACAGTGATCTGAAACGGGTCGGGTATGCCCGTGAGTGGAATGCTGGGCCGCTATCTTGAATGCTGGCGGTGGGTAGTCTGGCCGTAGAGGCCCCACTCCGGCTCTAAGCTTGAACGATTCCAGAAGACTTGCATCTTGGTGCATTCTCTCTTGCCTCATCATGAGCTCATGCTGATTGCTGGAGTGGATCGATCGAATGAGTTGTTGTCTCAGTGGAGCTGATGAGATAGCAGATTCAGCGCGTACCGCGACAGCCAGCCTCTAGCCACCCCCACCGTCTATTCTGCTCAGCTCCCCTCAGGCTCAGCTGCACCACGATTCGATGATGTCCGAACTATGCCCGCCCGGGTCCGTTGCATCATTCAGCTGCCCAATCTCTCTGTCGCGACGGACGAATGTGGAGCTGCTGTTTTGGCATTCTCTGAGCTATCTCCGGTCGAATGGGGGGCCACCAGGATAGTTGCCTGGACTCCGATGGGGCTATCTGGCGTGACCACGCAGCATTATCCCGAGCGGAGGGAACGAACAGTGGAGGATGAAAGGAACGAGGCGTATCGCGGCGTGGACTGTGAGACGCTGGGGATGACCTATCCAAAGAATGCTGAGAGCGAGACCGGCCTGGAGCACGTGTCCTGACTGGATGGACCTGTCATAGAGAAATGAGTTCTACTTTACCTCATCGGCAGTGATTTCCCTGCTGGAAAGTAGGGTGGCTGAGGCTAGGGGAATGTTCTAGGAAACCCGAGGCGTCATTCGTCGGTTGGTTGCCGTCTATCTGCCCTGATGAGAGGTAAATACCGACACTGATCATTCTGGACTGTGATGAAGCCAGAAGAATGTCATGCTGGATAAACTATCTGTGTTACCTGTCATATAGGAGAGTATATGTACCTTTCGAACTAAGGGGAAGAAAAAGAAAGGAAAAGAAAGAAGCAGGGATAAGCAACGAAGAAGAGAAGCAGCTAGGGGAGTAAGTCAACGCGACTAAGGAAACTAGGCCACGCTAAGCGTGCAGAGAAGAGGGACAGAAGCAAAAGGGAAGAGGGTCTGTCAAAGGCGATCTCCATACCGCAATATGATCTATCTTGTGTGATTCCCTACAGTAAGTATGTGTGTCACTTTTCTTTGCAGACTTTTCTTTTTTCCGTCTCTTCTTTTCTTTTGTTTTCTCGGTTGACAAAAGACTAGGGGACATGCTGAATAGTTAAGCCACCAATGCGAAATTAAGTTCAATCGAGTGCAGGGATAGAAGAGTAAGCAACGTGAAATGCCAAAAGTTAGTTGAGTAGGTAGATAGCAGAAAATGAGAAAGTAAAAGGAAAAAGAGTAAGAAAGATTGTGGAAGCTGAAAGGCTGAAGGCTGAAGGATGAAGGCTGTGGAGGAGGGCAACCAGGGATAAGCGGCGTCCAGGTTTCTTTGTTTGACTGGCAACGACCAGCGCGACTAGTAGTTTAGTTGGTTTAGTTGAGTCGATTAGTGTTGATCCAACTAAAGAATCACTAAGAATAAACCCGCCATGCCATGAACCATTCAGATCCCATTTCTGACGGAAGGAAAGGATCGACTTCCGGGGTTCAGTAATCAGCAATCCAGCAATCAGCAAGCAAGTAAGCTGGGATCACTCGGTGACTCCAGAATTGTTGGTTATTGCGCTTCGTATTCTTCCCCGGCCCTAACCCGATCTTTCCCCCATCCATCAAATGTCTGGACCTTCCCATGTCTATTCTTTCTCTCAGCCTCTGTGTCAATGTGTTCTTCCTAACTTCCAAATCATTCATTCAATATTCTATCTAGAGCCAGAACCAGAATTTCCGGTAATTGTAGACGAAAATTGAACGGAAATCACCCTAATGGCGCGCCCCTCAGCAAGCCCACCCACACACCATCCACACATACACCATCCACACACCCCCCGGTCCATCCCTTGCATGAGGGTGTCACTCTCATGAGGCTATTCCCGCCCATGATGATGACCACGACGATCCCATCCTGCAGTTCGGCCAGGAACTGCCCTTGAGATATGTCGCTTTTATTTTTGCTTTTTAAATATTTATTTTATTTTTTCTATCTTTCTCATGGATTTTCCCAAAATTCTACATGGACTCCGCCCCGAACTCCTTGGGATCTAGGGATGAACGGCCGGACCAGCCAGACGGAGCTTGACGAGCTGCATATGGCGACCCTCCCTGATGGATCTCATCACATCCATCCGCTGCTGAGTTTCTTGTCGTCGGCCTCGTTCTCCTCTTCCTCCTTCTTCCTTCTTCCTCTAATGATTATTATTTTTATGATTATTATTATTAAACATATCTCCCTTTAAACTCCATCCTATCGTCTCCCTTCTCTCTCCCCTTCTTCTTCTCCCTTCCTCCCTTCTTCGTTCATCCTCATTCCTTTCTTTTTTTCTTTCCCCTCGTTCTCTTCTTGTTGAACCATGGTCCCGGCGGGTTCTTTATCTCTACACTGCCGGATAAAGACACTGGCCACAGGCTGACTGACTTACTTGCACGGGTGACGGTCGTGTGATTGTTTGCTTGCCCTGCTTGCTGGCCTGTCATCCTGGACGCCAAAAAAAGGTTAAAATCGCATCAAGACCGGCGACTGGCGAGCAAAGTCAAAAAAGCAACGACGCTGGCCGTATTCGGGTCACAATTTTGGTACTTCGCCAACGGAGAACATCCCAATCGGGCCCATTTCCCTCCCGGCTGGTGCCTCTCGCTGGTTATCTTTCTCTTCTTCGGCTTCTTTCTCTTCACTCCTTCTGCTTCTTGGTTCTGCTTGTCTTTCCCTTGCCACGTTTTTCTCTGTTCTTTCCCCCCATCCTCCAGGAGGGGGAAAGGTCTTTTGAGACATCCCTTCCCCTCCCTTCGTGCCAACTCTATAAACTATCTCCTGGCACTGCCAACGATATACTTCCCAGTTCCTGGCCCGAGCCACGGGAATATTACTCCCCACTCCCAACCCCCCCCCCCCCCCCCCCCCCTCTCCATCTAGCACTCTCTCTCTCTCTCTCTCTCTCTCTCTCTCTCTCTCTCCTCTCCGCAATGCCAGTTCATGGTCTCCTTGTGTGACGACTCTTGAACTGTCAACTAGTTGATTGTTCAACCCCCCCTCCCTCTCCATCTAGCACAACAGCATCATGCTTTCTCCGTCCTCGTTGGCACTTCCTAGACAGGCCCCTCCAGTGAGGCCCTCTCGGTCCTTGGAGGGACTAGAGCAAGTCGTTCCTCCTCGAGTGCCAGTGCCCCCTGCTCGCCCGGCACTGCGACATATTGATAAGCCGCTCCCTGAGCTGCCTCCCAAGCCACTGCCTGAGACCCCGTCGATGGATGAGGGCTCCACTGCATGGAGTGATGACAGTAGTACCATCTCCAGCTTCTACGATGACAGCCGACGCTTTTCGGCGGATTCGTCCGAGAGTTACCCTGTTTTTGTCCGCTCTGGTTCGGACGATCTGTCCGAGCTTGTCGATCATCCACCCACTACCGGGCCCATCGACCCGTACCAGCATGACGACCATCACCATCACCACAATGACCATCCAAAGTCCGCACCTTTCGCCATCACCACCACTTTCCTCCACGATGACCACTCCGACCGAGCCCAACCCTGGGTCGCTAACCGGGCTGGCCCCAACCATTACTTCCGGGAGAAGAAATGGGACTTTTTCCCTGAGTTGGCTACTCCGTCGGCTCTCCCGACATCCCCGCGTTTTCCCACTCACCCCCGCAAAAAGAACGGCAGTAAACTGAACCTCACCGTGTTCGACTTCGCCAGTCGCAACCGTTGGAACTCATCCGATCGAAGTGGACGCGCCCTCGCTCAGGACGTGCGCAATTCCATTCGTTCCTATGTGCAACGGCGCTTGTCGAAAAATTCCCTGGAACGAAACAAGAGTAATCGGTCCTCACCCCCCACAGCAGGTTCAGTGGATCCTGTGCGCACCCCCACGCCATCGAGCAAGATCACCACCACCGACGAATATTATCATCCTGGAAGTCCAAGGTCTCCTCTGAGCCCAGTGGATGTCTCACCCTCGAATAAACGCCTATCGCGCATGTCCACTCGCTCAACCATGGGTGCGCGCGGCCCGCACCCGCGGCCTCTGGCGTCCCCACGGAAGAAGCAGCTGGCAGTGCCGATGTCGCCGTATCAGAAGTACGGTGCGGCGATCTGGGAGAAGCCAGGTCGTGAGAAGCGCATCAGTTACCGACAGAGCCCTAATGTTCGGTTTCCTCGCTATCGGAAACGACGCTCGTCAAAGAAGGGCTTTGTGTCCTCCGCAACGCCACCCCTGACGCCACCCGCCCGGTCTCAACTCCAGCAGAACACTCGAGACTGCGTCCGAGCCATTCAAGACGGCACCCATCATATCCTCGACGCCCTTGACGGCGCGCGGAAGAAGATGATCGGAGTGCGGGGCGATCGACGGCACACAGAGCTGAAATCACAGATCCGACTAGTCGGACCAGTCAGTCCATACAATAACAATTACGGACAGACCGATCCATGGATTTAGAACGAAAAGCTCACTATCTCTCCTCTCAGACTTTCCTTTCTCGTTCCGTCTTCTTTCCTTTCTATGTTTATGATATCCCATTCGCTTCATTGTCCATGTTATCCAATTAGCCTGTCCTTATTATTTCCGGTCACTCTCTACGTCTACAACTCTCGTCTTGTCCTGCAACTCTAGTCATTACCGTGATATCCCGTTGGCATTTTCAGGGTCTCTGCTTGGCGTTGGGGATGCACCTATAGATGCTTTATCTATAGCTATTTCACTTTTTTGGTATATTACATTGAGGAATACTAGCTTATAATGACCCAATATCAAATCTTATCATCTACAACCCAAAACAGTCAGACTAATCGTCCAATAATCGCAGTAATTGAATACACCCTACCCCACCCAAAAGAATGCAACACGTGCCCTATCCCTTACAGATCTATCCCCAATACTTGCATATGCAGCGCCCGCACATGATCTGACTAGGAAATTCTCCTGGATCAAATGTCTCTCTTTCCTTTTCCCTAACCCTTGCCCTGTCCTTCACCCCTAGGCACAAGATTAAACACAATGTCTATAACCGTTGACAACCATAGACAGTCATAATTTGCTACTGAAACATCATATATCTCTGACCAAATCAAATCACCCAAAACTTTTATCCCTATCCTAAAGTAGTAATCAGTCCATCGTGGCTGTAGCTGTATGTATCTGTAAGTAGTCTTAAGCATGCGAATAATTATACGATATCTGTGCATACTGTGTGGACCCTTGCGTCGATTACTCCTTTAAGCTAGCTATGATATTAGCTGATCAGCTGCTGCTTGGTAAATATTATCTATGTTATCTTGTTCTATAGTAGGAGGTATTATAGATTGTAGCAATCTAGGGATGAATGGATGGATAATGCTGTGCGACTTTTAACTTATTACTGTTTTGTTTCTTAGGATTTGGTACTAGTATGTGCCATGGGTGGGGATGGTGATGGGATTTAGATGCTTTGTATCTAGTATGGAGGAGGAGGAGGTAGGGGGGAGGGATAAGGTGATTGTGTGAGTGTGATGGTGCCAGGGAATGGGGATCGTGTATGGGGCTCTGTGTTTTGTTGTGTCTGTGTAAGTTATTGGGTTTGTGTTCGATGATGTGCGTTGCTGGATTGCATGTCCTGACTATATATATTATCTACTGGGAAGTGCAGTGTGGTTACTGTGTTGATCAAGCGATGCAATAGGAACGAATAGTAGGTCATTGATATTCCTAAATGCAACCCTATATATTTCATAGAGTTAGGTCATGATAAATAACAAGGCTAAACTAAGATACTAAGGTATTCTATTTTATCCTGCGCCCAACCATCGCCTGTCCAAGCAAACCGACCAGCCAACCCACAAGAAACCGAAATTAATAAAGAGACCCGACCTGAGAAGAACTGAAGAGGAAACTTTCACAACTGCGCAACGTTTTCCAGGATTTGCACCTCCTGGCCCGGCTTGAATGCCGGCAGTCCGATGAACGGACAGCCCGCGCACCGGAAGGCATCGCCCAGGGCACAGTTTCCACACGAGCCTGTCTTACCCTGCACGGTAAAGTCCAGCTCGTTCAAGTCCTCCGTCTCCAGCTTCATCACGTTGAGAGCCTTGTCTGCCTTCTCCCGCTCCGCTTGTTCCTCTGCCTCGAGTCGTGCTGCGAGTCCGCACGTGCAGTCCTTGCAGGCGCGACGCCGGCGGCCGGGCTTGGGCTGGCATTCGGGGGCTGTGATGCATGCATTGTTAGCATGGTTTAAATTCCACAAGAATTATCGAACTATGAATGGGACTTACGCTGGATAGGTCTCTTCAAATCCTCATCCGAAAGCAGAGTATCCTCGTCAATCAAGTCATCGTCATTCTCGTAATCGTCGTCATTATTAATCATGCCCACGGTGACAGGCTGCACGGGCGGGGCAGGCGCAGGTGCGGGAGCAACTGTCTCTGTCTTCGCCGCATCCTTCTTCTTCCCATTGCGTCGCAGAGGAATCGCGAACGACTTGGGCTGGTCCATCTTCTCAAACCCGGCATCGGTCTTGATCAGCCCCGCCAAGACCGCCTCGCGCTCCTCGGCCTCTCCGAAAAAGTTATCCTGGGTCTGTAGCTTCGCTCCGGCCTTCATGCAGGGAACCAACGCGGTGTAGACATCCCGCGTGAGCAAATGGAGAGCCTCCGACCGCCGCGTGCCATCGGTATCGGTTAGGACGACAATGTGATCGTAGGTGTTGGCGGGGAGGGAGACGAAGCCGGCAGATATGCGGTCAAGCATCTGCAGGTCGGTTGTGGAGCGGTCAAAGGTGGTGAAGAGGTCCCGGAGCTTCTCTTCTTGAGTGGCGATGGAGGGGGGAGCGAGGAGGAGAGTGCGCTTGGAGGGGCTGCCGGTCGACATGGGCTGGAAGGAGGGGGCGGGTGCCATGTCGAAATCAGGCGTTGTGTCGATGGTCACGAACGAGGGAGCCATTGTGTCGGTCTACCTGCGAGTTCGTCCGTGAAGGGAGAAGGGAGAGGAGATAGTTGGGGTATAAATGGAAGGGAGTGGAAATTGAGGTTCAAAAGTGATCAGTGGCCGTGATCGGATGCTCGTTTTGGGTTTCGTCTGGCTGACTCAATTGTCATCTGACGGCGTTGTGATTGGGTGGCGGGGAAAGTGGCAGAGATTGTGTTTGACGGTTATCAGCGAATTTTCGGGGTTATCTGATGATGGGGGATTACAAATCGAGGCACACGCCTGCAACCCCCGAGGAAATAGCTAGGTGATAGTCCGATGGCGGTGGTGGGATTAGTTTCCTCCTTTAGGAAAGTCGATGTCAGTGGGTTTTAATTTCTGGGAGGTTCTCTTTGACTCCGAGTGATTTTTTAGCAGATTTTCTCCCCTCCAATGCCCCGCACCCATATTACTTTGGCCCGGTTGTTATTGCCCTGCTCGCTGTCCGTGGGAAATTGTCACGGGAATTCTTTGGCCTTTCTGGGTTTAGCGCTACTGGGCTGCTGCCCAAGCTGGCTGACTAATGGAGATCCTTCAAAACCCCGCTTGTTCATGATGTCACTCAGAGAGTGTCTGCCATCAGCAAGAAGAATAATTATTAGTCAGTAACTAATGTTCGCGGTGAAATGCTCTCATAAATAATAGAAAATACCCATTATTGGCGAGTGAGACGGTTGTCTGCCCAAGAGCCGCTGTTTTTTCCAGCGTGGGGTGCAGTTTAACCTTAAATTGTTTCCAGAAATGGAAACCCGGAGGGCCATATACTATACGGTCATGTGATACGGCTGATAGCTGATGGTCTCTCCGACCATAGCGTTGGAAGATTCAATTGCAACAACAATATCTCGGGGGAACAAGGCTTTGATGCCCCTATTAGTGAGGGATACAGACTTTTCTGATGCAGCTACAACACAAGCTGATACGCCAACGGCTCTAAGCCGACTGAAGGGCAGAAAGAGTGACCCGAACCTAACTCCATCAAAGGCCACGGGATAACACTTGCAGAAAACGTATGCTCGAAGAGTAATGAATACGATTTTAATCATACTTAAAGTAGGCGATGCTTACTGCCACAATTCTCAAGTATGGCATTTGCCTTTGACATTGCTACAAGCACCCCACTAATCGTGCTGCTATTTGCTAGTATATATACTGCTTGTGTTCCTGGTCGATAGTACAATGTTAATCTTCTCGGAGCTCGATACATATGTCGATCAATCGTGATGAAGTATCTGGATGCCAAGGGCTGTTGTGGACATTGGACAGTTCAAGAAGAGAGGCAGCTATCCTGATTTTGCTCAGCGGCCCAGTCACACTACTATCGATTTCAGCAGATATTGCAGTCTTATCGCCCAAGAAAATGTTTATCGATCGTTTAATAGAACGATGTGTGCAATGGCTGCAATATACTGATGCAGGAGGTAAGTTTTATCTCGGTGCTATAGTCCCGTCAGACCTCTACCTCGCAAGCGGCCACTGCCATTGAGTACGATGGCGATATGCCAACTAAAGACTGCCTATCGATGTTATTCATCAAAAAGTAACAGTTCAGCGCGCTAGGTCTGGTCGGCCTTCTAAGAGCATGTGGCTATGACGCCCAAACGTTGGCAGACAAGGGTCAACTCACTATGGCAGAGTCATGTCAATCATAGTTGACCACCAATATATTAGCTCATATTGCGGTAAGTAGAAGGCCAAGTAGACATCGTATTGTTGTGCAGCCTTCGTAAGCTCGGGGTGGTCGGACGCGCGCCTTCGAGCTTGATGGATGTCTGTGCTTGGGTCAGTATACCACACTATTGTCATCCATCCAAATCCGACTAAACTTCACAAACCAATTTAATGCTCTCACCAAAGCACTAATATTTCAAGAATTGAAGTTTGACAATGTATCTGTTCACACCATCTTTCTATTGTCAAAGCTTCCGCAAAAGGCAATGGGGAATGAATGGCTGACATAACAGCCACCCCGGATCAGCACAGGAATGCCTGCATCCAACGTCATGTCACCTGCCCTGTCGTGTTCCTGGCCGTTCCTGGCGACTCCTCACTTCCCCTCTTCTTTCCTTTGAGCAGCCTCCCTCCTCTTTTTGATCATTCAATTCATTCGAATCTATCAAATGCTTTAAATTATCAATCGTTGCATCCAAATCTGTTTATCCCATCACTTCACTGATCTAGACCCGCTACCATGGGTGGAGACGTTCCCCGGCAAGCTCCCAGCGCCCTTCCCCAGACTCCCGCGGGCCCAGTCGGTCAACGCATTAAGAGCATCTACACCGACCGTCTCAAGCAATTCACCGCCACCGGACAGTACGAAGGCCAGAACCTCATTTCGTAAGTACATTCTCATTGCGGTCTTATAGCACACAATTCTTCATTCTTCCGGTCGTCTATTTCACGTCCGAACTATACTAAAGGTCTACTAGCAAGCTGAACGAGGCCGTTAATTCCGACGAAGACCATGTCAAGCTTTCAGTATACTCCGTCCCTGACCTCCAGCGCCCAACTTTCAAAGAGGCTACCTCCAATGAATTTAAACCTACCCACATCGGAGCATCGTTCGGGCCAAGCTGGTCCACTCATTGGTTCCGCATCCGCCTGACGGTCCCGGAGGATATGCGCAAAAAGGAACGTCTGGAGTTTCACTGGGATGCAAACAACGAGGGTCTAGTCTGGACGGAAGATGGTCGACCACTTCAAGGTCTCACTGGTGGCAACGAGCGTATCGAGTGGATCATCCCCGATGCCTGGCGGGATGGGAAGGAACATACCTTCTACATCGAGATGGCCTGCAATGGCATGTTTGGAAATGCGCCTGGGGGAGATTCCATCCAGCCGCCTAACCCTAACAAATACTATACATTGCACAAAGCTCAAATCACTGCCGTCAACCTAGAGGCACGGGCATTGTTCTACGACTTCTGGATTATTGGAGGTATGTTCGGACCTGTAACTTTAAGCAGCTTGTGCCGCTATTAGCTGTTAGATGATAGACTATTCCGTCGATGTTTACTGACTTGGTACACTAGACGCGGCCAGGGAATTCCCTGGTGATGGCTGGGAGTCGCATGAGGCCAATATGGTCGGCAATGCTATCATTGATGCGTTCATTGCTGGGGAAGGCAGCAATGAATCAATCAAAGAGGCACGCAAAATAGCCCAGAAGTACCTGGGTAGTAAAGTAGATTCTTCCCAAGTGTACGAGACCGACACGGAGCCCATCGTCTACGCTATCGGACATTGCCATATCGATACTTGCTGGTTGTGGCCTTGGGCAGAGACTAAGCGTAAGGTTGCCCGGTCATGGTCGAACCAGTGTGATCTGATGGACCGATATCCGGAGCATCGCTTCGCTTGCTCCCAGGCACAACAGTTCAAGTGGTTGAAGCAATACTATCCTTCGGTTTTTGAACGCGTCAAACAGTGGGTCAAGAAAGGTCACTTCCAACCCATCGGCGGCAGCTGGGTTGAGCATGACACCAATATGCCCAGCGGAGAGTCGCTGGTGAGGCAATTTCTCTATGGCCAACGCTTCTTTGAGAGAAACTTCGGTGAACGCTGTACAACCTTCTGGCTTCCGGACACCTTTGGCTACTCTACGCAGATACCTCAGATCTGTCGTTTGGCAGGCATGAGTCGCTTCCTCACCCAAAAGCTCAGTTGGAACAATATCAATAACTTCCCGCACACCACATTTCTCTGGGTTGCACTCGATGGGAGTCAGGTTATGTGCCACATGCCACCAGCAGAGACATACACTGCGAGCGCTCACTTCGGTGACGTGAAGCGTAGCGTGACTCAACACAAGTCAATGGACAACGACAACACGTCACTCTTAGTATTCGGCAAGGGCGACGGTGGTGGCGGGCCAACCTTTGAACATCTGGAGAAGCTGCGCCGCTGCCGCGGTCTCAGTGACAAGGTTGGCTTGCTTCCTCGTGTGAAGATGGGAGATTCGGTCGATGATTTCTTCGCAAAGCTCGAGAAGAAGGTAGAACAAGGTACCCGCTTCGCCACGTGGTATGGTGAATTATATTTCGAACTACATCGGGGCACGTATACCACACAGGCCAACAACAAACGGGGAAACCGCAAGTCGGAGTTTTTGCTCAGGGAAATCGAGTACCTTGCTACACTCGCTACTCTTGAGCAGTCTGCGGACAAGTATAAGTACCCTAAGGAGGAAATCGACGAGATGTGGGAAGATGTACTTTTGTGCCAATTCCATGACTGCCTTCCCGGTAGCAGCATCGAGATGTGCTACGATGACTCCAGAGAGCTATACAAGAAGGTTTTTGAAATTGGCAACAAGGTTCGGAAGGAAGCCCTCCAAGCTCTTGGACTTGGAAGCAGCACCGCCAAGGGTCTCGTCGCAATCAATACATTGCCCTGGCCTCGCTCAGAAGTAGTCAAGGTCCCTGCTGAGTTTACAACTGCGGGTGGCCCTAGATACGTCATTGTCAGTGGTGAAAGTGGTCCTATCAAGTGTCGGCTTCCCACGGCTTCAAACAGAGCGCCTGCTGTGACTGTTTCCGAGATCGAGCCCGGTGTCTTCCGTTTACAGAACGAGAAACTGAGGGTAGATGTGCACGACGGAGTCATCACATCATTGTACGATCTGAAGGAAAAGCGCGAAATCATTGCCAAGGGCGGGAAAGCTAACCAGCTTGTCATATTTGACGATAAACCACTCTACTGGCAAGCGTGGGACGTTGAGGTCTTCCACCTCGAATCGAGGAAAGAGTTGCAATCCGGGAAGACTACTGTCGCTGAAAACGATCCGTATCGTGTCAGCGTGGTCACTGAGACCCGCATAAGCGACAAGAGCTGGGTCAAGACGACTATCAGCCTGGCTGCTGCCGTTGGAGATCAGCCATCCTATGTTGAGATGGAAAGTGAAGTCGAATGGCGGGAGACTATGAAGTTCCTCAAGGTCGAGTTCCCTGTCGATATCACGAACACACAAGCATCGTATGAGACTCAGTACGGAATCATCAATCGCCCGACTCATTACAACACCAGGTAATTCTACCCTTCTTTCCACATATGCAGGTGCTAATAGGTTTCAGCTGGGACATGGCCAAGTTTGAAGTGTGCTGCCACAAGTGGGCAGATCTGTCTGAGCACGGCTACGGTGTCTCGATCCTCAATGATTCCAAGTATGGGTTTGCAACTTGCGGTAACATGATGCGCCTCTCCCTGCTTCGTGCCCCGAAGGCACCGGATGCTCATGCAGATATGGGTCATCATCGCATCCGTTACGCGATTCTCCCGCACGCAGGGCCCCTGGACCATCGCACGATCCGCGCAGGGTACAGCTTTAACCACCCCCTTGCCCTGGAGCCCGCATCTGGTCAAGAGGCAAGCGACGCGTTTAAGTCAATCTTGTTGGATGGTTCTCCCTCGCTTGTCCTGGACACAGTGAAGCGTGGTGAAGATGATGAAGACGTGTCTCGAGATGAACTGCCACGGCGTGCCGGGAAGAGCGTCATCCTCCGCATCTACGAGTCCCTGGGTGGTA